CCAACCCTAACTTTATCCCTAAGCTAAACTGGCGGATTTTGGGTGGCGGAGTGGCGGCCCGTAGCAGCCCGTGTAGAGGGTTACCTGCCACCCTGGTAGGCATGCTGTCCTGCTTAAAACGTGTTCATTTCCTGAGGATGAATATGTTCGGTTTCGGGCCGCTGTATCGGTGAACTACCCCGACAGGGGGTTGGTGACCGACTATATGGTGTCGCGCTGATGCTGTTGCTGCCTTTTTTGCCGTCGGCGTAAGGCAACGCTTGGCCTCGAACCAATTTTGTGTCTGCAACTCGCAAGGGGTGTGTGGCTGGCAACTCTCTTATTGGTAGATACTGCGAAGCAGGGCACATGCCAAAATGTAGAAGGTGCCAGCACTTGGGAACCTGGGAGTTCAGATTAACGTCTTGTATTTACCGGAGGCCTTTTTGCTCCTAACATTGACTATCTAGGCTTTGGTATCGGGGTTCAATAACTGAGAAGCCAAAGTTCATACGGTACCTTATAACCGTACCGACTCCCACATGTACTCATGGAGTTCTCGTGACCGGCGTGGCAACCCCCAGACCAGACCTATGCATACCACGGGGTCTCCACGGGTCGATTTTTCCGGTGCTTCGCGGGAATCTTCGACACGAAGGTCGGCTGCACGCGAATCAACAACAGGATTGCCGACAATGCCCCGCAGGCGAGCGAAGCGCCGTTGGGGATAACATCGCCAGGGTTACCTCCTACGCCGTCTCCCCACGTCCACGTGTAGGGTAGCACGGTGCTTCCCTTGACGTGACGTGTGCGGATGTTGAAGCGGGGAGCCTAGCGAACTTGTTCCCAAGGCGCTTCGCTCGCCTGCCGGATATTGTCGGCCATCATGTTGTGGATTCACCTGTGGCCGACCTGCGTGACAAGCATTCCCGCGAAGCACCGAAAAAACTTGAACCGTGGAAGGCATAGGTCTGGTTGCCACCACGCCGGGTACGAGAACACCACGTGTAGACGTGTGGGAGTCGGCGAGGCTTTAGGGTATATGCTTGTGCCATAGGACATGGTGACGACCTCGACCGCAGGGACCGCCATGCCTCCGGCATTTACAGTATGTAGCAGCACGTGCGGTGCTCGTCGCCGTTATTCCCCGAGGATGAAGCCTTCTCGTGCTCGTCGTCTAATTGTGCCGATGCAGCGCACCACGGTCAGCGAGCGAGGTGAACTCTGGCTCCTCGAATCATGTTTGTTTTTGTCACGAGAGAAGTGTTGGGACGAACGCCGTGTTGCGGGATGGCGTCCATCTCGGAAGTTGATGGATCGACCCCCTCAGATTCGTTTCCAGGCCTTGGCCTTGCTGCAGTGAGTCCCAAGCACGGCCCGCGCGCCCCCCGCTGGATCTTCGAAAGGTCCAGCGGGTCACGCGGGGTGTGTTCGGGACTCATCGCGGAACGCCAGGGCATGACAAAGAAGCTCCGGGGATCGATGGATTAACACTTCAAGGTGGCCCCCATTCTTCAGAACGGCGTCCGTCCCAACACTCTGCGACACACCGATGTCAATGTGGGTCACGCCGATGTTCGAGGAGCCCGGGCAGCGCACTCGTGAACCGTGCGCATGGAGACTTAGTCGCACCTTATTTGGAAACTTTCAGTCTTACGTGAGAAGGGCAAGTGCGACGGGAGACGCCCCGCATGAACGGAGGTACCACCTATCATGAGGGTCTAGAAAGAGACATGTCTCCGATGCAGCACAGGGCGTCTACGGCGATCGGTAGCCAAAGGCACCCATCCCTTAAAAGGCGAACCAAGCAGCAAGCGAAACAGAAACAGACGGGTTAGCCCTCCTGCTCCCCCCGCCGTCAATTGGTTGCCAAAGACATCCATCCCTTCTGAGGCGAAACAAGCAGCAGGCGAAAAAGAAACAGGCGAGTTAAGCCCCCTACCCGATGCATGCCTCTTGCTTTCCTGGAACGCACCGTGCCAGGCAGTCACTACGAGCTGGGCGAGTCGTTCGTTGAGCAGACGTACGACGGCATGACATTGCTGCTCACGATGCACGTGTCTGGCGCTCAGAGCGTCGTGTTCGAGGTGCTGCAGTACCTCAGGTGAGGTGGAAAATTCCTGGAATATTCTGGTGAAAGATGTTTTTCGGTTGTTTGCTGTGGTGGAGTACCTATTCTTGCGATCGTTGTTTTGTGTGTGTTGTGTCGTTGCTACGATGAGTGCCATGGATACCCGCACCGTTTGTTTTGCTTGAAATGGAGGGTAATGTCGCCGAAGATTGTCAGTGTTGTTTGTGTGATACGTAGTAGTTCTTTTTCGTTGTCATCATGATCTCTATGGGTTTTTTGCAGCATTTGTTTTGCTTGGAATATTGGGGAATATCGCAGAAGGGAAAGTGGAGAACAGCGACAATTGATAATCGTGTGTGGCGAGTCTCCTCTGTGGCCCAGTAGATGCGCCCGGAAAAACTACCGAAGTGAGTACAAAACCCGTCATCCAGGAAAACGGGACTGCTGTCATACTAACAATGATGTGTTCAGAGAATTACCGAATGGGTGAAAGCTGACATGGAGGATAAATGGGACTGTTATACGCAAGAATTACGCACCCAGCGTAAATGCCGAAGTGAGTGACAAGTGGCATCCAGGTTAAATGGGACTTTTCACACAATGACGCATCCAGAGAAAGTACCGAAGTGAGTGAAAGTTGACATCAGCGTCAATGGGACTACAAACACATAAACAAAACGTGGGCTGTCACTTTCCGATTGATTGTTGTTTCGCAAGGTGAATTCACAAGTCGCTTCCACATTTGTTTTCGTCTTCTTTTTTTTTTCCTGGCCACTCATTGTGATTTGCCTTCAGGTGCCCTTTTCTGTTCCTCTCTAAACCCTCAACATTATCGATCGACTCTGAATGCCAAAAATGTTTCGAGAAGCTCGCGAGAGCAAAGCACAACAAACAACAAAAATGCCATACCAATTACTACAGGACAACAGGCGGTGGTTATCCTGTAGGTATTTTTGCTGTCGCCAGCAAGGCTTTATTTGTCCGCCCCTCTCCTTTCCCTTTCCCTCTCTCGATGTAATGCCCTCTTGCTTCGTTGAATTGCTTCGTAGGGACATCGCAGAACACCTGCTGATCTTCATGTCCTCGAGCAGATCCATGGCTCTCTACGAGGCTTGTGGGAAGGCCCTCAAGATTTACACGGACCAACACGCTGGGAGCGTAAGGTGCGAGGTAGCTCGATCGATTGTCCTTCGAAGATGCCGTGGCGTCGTGATCTGGCTGCGTGCTGAAGTCAATGTCGTTGTTGTTGTCGTTGTTGTTGTTGCTGTTTGGCCGTTCACGCGCTTCGCCAGTCTTACTTGCTAGTCATGGATGCCCGCCTCCAGTACATGTATACATCAATGAGTTCTTCACAGCAGTGAGAGCTGAGAAAACCTTGCTGCTGTTGTCCTTGTTTGTTGTTTTTCGGCGTGTTGACGCCTTTTTCAGCAGTGCGTGTCGAAAAATTGCTGCTGCTGCTGCTGCTGCTGCTGCTGCTGCTGCTGCTGCTGTTCTTTTCGCTGTTTCAAGGCGTGTTAACGTCTTTGCAGCAGCGAGTGCTCAGAATATCTTGCTGGGGTCGTTCTTGTTGCCGCTGCTGCTGTTGTTTTTTGTTGTTGCTGTTTGTCAGGCGTGTTGACCCCACCTCGGAGGAGGACGCGTACGAGGACGTCGTGTGCGTTCTGCAGCTGCTGAGCAACCTGATCACGAAAGATCTCGTCGACCAAAGCGACGAACCCGCCAGCGAAAAGGTTAGCTTACTGGTCTCCCTCAGCTAGGCGCCCTGCGCTTCACCCACGACTCGCTCGTCTGTTGTGCATCCCGCGCGAATCAATGGCGGTGCCTGGGCGCTGCCGTCAAAAGCATGTGGCATCGCTCTCGCCGTTGTTCAGCCGTCCCCTGCGTTTTGGGACACCACCTTTTCCAGAAAGATGATGCCCCACAGAGGGTAATGGGGGGTCGTAAGGATTTTTCCTCGCTTTATGGACAGGGTTGTTGAAGAATACACTCAAGGATCCTTCAAGTGGGAACGACTGCAGTAAAGATTTGTGGGTCTAGAGCGGATGTTGCTGCTCGTGTTGTTAAGTTCGGCCCGTCATTGCGGCATGAAAGGTTTCGAGATGCCATATTTTTTCGATGGTTGGGTTTTCTCACTTGCATTTGGTACATGTTTTCCCATCGTTGGAAATAATTCTTGCCAAGCTTTTGCCACCCTTTGATTGTCCATCAAATGGCGCCCGATTTGTTGCTGTCGCCCCAAAAAATTGACGTGTGTGTGTTTTTTTTTTATTTTAATCTATAATACTACTTTTTTCGTTGTCATGTACGTGTGTTGGGTGTGCAGGATCGAGACGTGAAGGTGACGGACGTGGTTTTTTTCGGTCTGAAGAAGGTGATGCCTCTCATGACGGAGGGGTTGCTGCAGTTCCCGGAGCTCGCCACACAGTATTTTTCCCTGGTGAGAGAAGGGAGAGAGGGAAAGAGAGAGAGAGAGAACAGAGACAGAGACAGAGTGTGAATGAGTGCAAAGGACAATGTTGGTGCACTGAGCAACACAAGAGCCGTTCCAGTGGATGCTGGTCTCATGTGTTCTGTGCACTATTTATCTAGAGATGTGGAACCAATCATGATTGGCCCGTGTCGACGACAGGACGCCCCCGCTGTTTCGCATGCGCCCGGAAGGTTTTTCCAGCAACGACCAAGGAAACACTCGTTTATTCTTCGTGCCGCCCTACAGAAGTATGGGTGATATGTGCCGCCTTTCTCTGCGTGGATTTAGTGGCGTGGTGAGTTCAATTCGCAGCGATGCCATGGTTTTATTCCATTTTCTCCGGTCTTCGCCGCGAAAATTATGCATACTTCATCGCTTGAAGGATTACCGCGGTATCCAACTCAGGTTGCTCGCTCTCTTTTTCTGCCCGTGTGTCTGTCTGCCCGCCTGCCCGCCTGCCCGCCTGTTTGTCTGCCTGTCTCTCCCTCCCTCTCTCCATGTACCTCGTTGCGTCATTACTTCTCAACCTTCCTTCAGGTGGGTTTCATGGTGCAGACCTTCTCCGACAAGCTGTCGGGCCTAGAGCCGGAGCTCTTCCAGCAGGTCGTCAGCTCACTCGTTTTCGGGAGCCAGAGCGTGAGTGCCGCGCGCCGCCGCGCCGTGTGAGCACACGAGTAAAGCTGCGAGAGTTCAGTACCGTCGGGGTCTGTGCGTTCGCTCGCGTTGTTGTTGGTTCTTCAGCTTTTTGAGCTCTTGGAGGTGCTCTCCATGAGTCCTTTTTTTTCACCTTGGTGTAGCGTTTTTGCAGGATAGATTGTGCGGTATGTTTCTATGAATCTATGAATCAAAAGCTGTTGGAACAGCTTTGGAAGGACATGCCATCTACTTGTATGGTATGCACGCGTCGTGCTGTTTTCGCCTTTTTGTTAGTTCTCCGCGTGGTGGGAGTTTCAATCTCTCTCTCGTCATTTTGCTGCTCCGCGAAGCGCGCGTGTCTCGCCGTTCATCATGCCTGGCGGCATAATCGAAATCGCAAGGAGGGGAACGAGACGTACGCATAGACCTATACCTAGATTCTAGGGCCTCTTTGTCATTCTTGACCCGTTGACGACGTTTATGCTCTCCTTCGTGGCCGCGTTTTTTTCTCGCTCCTCCATCATGACCACGATCGTCTCTGCCCCCCCTGCACTTATTTTCGTCGTTATCGTTGTCCTTGCAGACGAACTCTCCCGTCGCACGGAACAGCCTGCAGGCCATCTCGGTGATGGCCGGGCACCACGTGTCGGAAAAAGTGAAGGGGGGAGAGGGGCTGTCGGCACACCTTGCCGTGAAGCCGGACCTCTTCTTGGGAATCCTCCGTACCCTGCTGGACGTGAGCGTTGTTGCTGATCTGCCGTTATCATTGTTGTTGTATGTCCCAGTTAGTGCGTTGGCTGTGACTCGATGCCGTGAGTTGTTCTTTTTCCGCTCGAAAAGCCGTGGAATACCAAGGGTTTCTCTTGGGGAAGTCTAAGCAGATTAACCGAGTGCCACGACGTCAATTGTGTCCAAAATCAACAATATGACATTTCCTTGAAAACACACACGAATTCCAAGAATACAATGAAATAGAAGTAATGACTATAAATACCACACGCGATTACATTATTGGTGCTTTGCTTTGCACGCTGAGCTCATTATTCCACTCTCGCCCCTTGATGGCATGTTGGCTGAACAAGAAAATGCCAACAAGCGATCGTAAACCAACGTATTACCCCCACATCCGAACAAGCGTGCGCACACCTCGACAAAGCTTGAGCAGCGCGGAGCGCATTTTGGGCTACCGAATGCGCCTTGTTGATGACAATCGAGGACATGTTCGTCATTAGAAAATATACATACAACCAAAGGAAGACTACTTACTACTCCAGATATAACCATACAGTTGAAGTGGATGGGTTGAAAGTCTTTGCAGTGAATGGCCGAAAATACTGGCTGGATACTGGTCTATTTCGAGTCTATTGATGCCTAAACTTCCACTGATCTTTTGTTGACCCTCTGGTTTGGTTTGGCAGATGCTCATGTTCCAGCGATCGCTGTGGGATCGCCTGGACGCGTGTTCGTTGGCGGTGCTGCCGCTACTCGTCTGCGAGCAGGTACAGGGTGAAAAAAATAGGACGGTGTTGTTGTCGTTTCGAGGGAGCTGCAACCGCATGTAGCATGGACAAGCGTAGGGTTGATAGACGGAAACCCTTCCATCTTTCGGAGTCCAAACGTGTAAATCTTGTTTAGACTACTCTCGTTGACATGTCCCAAAAATCCTGTTCGTGTCTGGTAAATTGACTGCCGGTGATTGTAGTGAACCAACCAACCACGTTGTATATTGTTCGTGCGGCGTGATGATGCGCGCAATGGGCCTCTGCCACTTTCACTTGTCGCGTGTCGGCAAAAAATAAGAAAAATAACTAGTACAAAGCATTTTCCGCGTGTTTGCAAAATGCATTGAAAAAAGCAGGAGGGTTTCCAGAGACTCGCCGAGGAGCTGGTGGCATCGCAGCCCGAGACCGTCAGGCCTCGCCTGGTGAAGGCGTTTCACAAGCTGCACGCCAGCCACGCGGCCTGCGGCGGTGGCCTGGACAGGGCGGGGCGGCGGCGTTTCCCCGAGGCCATGAAGGAGTTCACCATGTCCTGCCGAGGGTTCCTCCAGACGAAGTGACCGAAAAAAAAGCTGTTCTTGTTTTGTAGTGCTGTTTGTTTTTCCTGCTGCTGCTGCTGCTGCTGCAGCTGTTTCTGCTGCTTTTGGGGTGTTGGTCGTCATGTGGTTATCGTTGCTGCTGCGTTTTTGTGTCAGAATATTTTCCCGTTTATTGCGAACGGAGAACTAACCTTGTGCTGCCTTCGTTTGTACTCACGACTGACTGCGCTTCAGCTTTTCTCGTGGGTTTTTTGTGTTTTTTGTGGACACCCAGTTCCAGGCACAACCGTATTCCGAAGACAGTGCTTGCTGTTCCTGCGCGCAATGCGCGATTGTTATGATTTTGCGATTTGTCTTGTTTGTGTCGTCGTCGATTGCCTCTAGTCGGGAGGAGGCTATGCGACCCGTGTGCTGCTGCTGCTGCTACATCTACTGCTGCTGGTGGTGGTTTTTGTCCGTTTGTGCGACTAGTTGACCTTCTATGATCGCGATAGAATACTGAGACAGACCGGCTGCTCCCGCAGCTGCCGCGTGTTTGAGTTTTGGTCACCCTTCGCGGTGGGCTCGCCTGGAGTGTAGAAGGTTGTTGGCGATGGTACGTTGTTTTACCTAGATGTATTGGGGACTATTTTAAGATGGTCTAGACGTGAAGGTAGGGGAGGAGGTCTCCCTCGAGAATGATGTCATACAGAATGATGAAGTATGCGGCCTAACACCGTGTCACCGTCAACGTTGTGGCAGTACACGTCCTCCTGCAATGATGAAGGTTCAACACCGGTCAAGATTCGGCGGCAATCTGAAAAATCTTCTGGGTAACGTTTTTTTGGAGCCCGCCATGAGTTCAAATCTCGGATGTGTTTTTGGGCGCCCCACCCAGACCGACCAATTGAAGGTACTGGGCGGGCTGAGCTTGCGGCGATCAGCACCTGTGCTGGCTGCTTGGCGGACACGACAGGAATCAGATTCCTTCGAGAATGAGGCACCCTCTATATGTCGTACATTTTATTTGTCCTGTACGTGTCAAACTGGTGCAGACGGTGTCATTTGTGTCTTCCAAACGTGAGCAGCATTCGTTAGTACCGATGGTTGCTGTTGGCGGCAGGAAAGCTAGCGAACGATGTTGGGACAAATCGCTCGGGGTCTATGGCAGGTATTGATTGTCAAAGACCAATGAGAGATCCTACCACCGCAGGGGCCTGTGTCTGGACCTGTGTCCGGTTCTATTTCAGGAGCATTCGAAGAGGCTCAGGCTCACCAATCCTACAGTAAATGCCAGGCGCTCTACTGTACAGCAACGCGATTCGTAACCACTTGCGGTATTTCCCGAAAAATTAAGCACTCAAGGCAGTTACTTTTGAATACTCTAGTCTTCCAGCAAAATGCCCCCCGCCCAAGCTGTTGGTGTTTGATTCTTGAAATGCCAGCACCCGTCACCAGATCTGACGAACATGTACGGTTCGGTGCACCTTCATGGCGTCTACTCCTGCGGCAATATAAATGTCGAAAACGCTGCGTACAGCAAGTGATACATATAAATAGTAGTGGTTCATATCAAGGCAACGCCAATGCCTTCCAGGTTGGGTTTTCCATCCATCCATCCATCCATCCATGCCTTCTAGCATTGAAATCCTGTATTTTTTTTTTCATTTTTCTTCCATTTCGCAGGGAGATAGATATGGAGGCAGGATTTATTGTTTCGGGGGCAAGCGCTCTCCTCTACCGACGGTCTGTAGCCGACCAAAAATCGCCGGTGCAGTGGGTGTCGAACTCAAGGCGGGTCCGCTCACGGGCAGCGTGCTATCCCCTAGCCAACACGCGCACTCATTATCGTAGCAGACGAGGTGAAAAAGTCCACTCTCAACCGCAAAAAACAACGAATGGCCCTGGTGCCAGGTGTCAGTGAGTGCAGCCCGGCTTCTTCTGTGTGTGTGTGCGTACGGATGAACAGTTCTACGAATCCTCTCACGATGCCACTTCTGTGGCAAATTCAAATAATCCATACAATCTCAAGTAATTAAGCAATTTCCAACTTTTAGGAGTTAGGAGACGAACGCCTTGGGGGAGTTTTACATGAACCTTTGAGGCAGGGGGGCGTTCTAGTCTATGTGACACTTCCCAGCTCCGCGGGCAGCGTTGAACCACCAAATCGAGCACCCGCCACGCCAGGAATTAGAGCGAATGGTGATGTGCTGTGGCGTATGTGCTTGTGTCACTGATTAAGTGCGTTCAACACCACGCGCTTGTTGGGAAATCCTTACATTTTTCTTACATAGAGGAGATGGATTCGTTGGGTCATATTAAGAAAATAAAAAGACGTACAGCTTCGAAAAGAAAAAGAAAAGGAAGAAGAAAGCAGAGGGAGAAAAAAGGAATAACACACAGAGAAAGGCACACGCCAGAACCACTACCGTAGCGACAAACAAACGAAACAACAAAATACAACATAAAACGGGCCACCCAAGACAGGAAAGGCACGTCATCTGCTTGTGGGGGATTGGTGCAATGGTGCATGACGGGGAGGGGGGGGATAAGTCAATCAAGAGATCAATGCGGCAGAGCGTTTCTGTATGCATTGTGTAAACAAAAATTAGCCCAATGTAAACGCACCCTCTATACCCTCCCACCAAACGGTAAGGTTCCCCTTCAAATATACCCTATACTACCCTTCTATCGTACGTATGCGTAGTGTTTGCGAAGTTTCACTCCGCACTTTGCCAAAACAACACTCGCCCAAGAACGAGTTGACTGAACACACACACAACCACGGTTGTTTGTAGCTTTTGCGACTCCTTCGAACAGTAGACTACATCGAATAGCGCATGCATAGATATGAGCTCCAAGATTCCGCGTAGCACACCTCGACCGGTCATTTCAAACAAAAGCGACAAGCCAGTAAAGAACACGCAATAATACCACAAGAGCCACGAGCCGCAACAACACCCTTCATCCGATAAGGACCCCAGCAACACCACATCACCACCACGATCACTGCTAACACAACCAACTCTACCCCCACCACCACTTACAAAGAACAGGGCTCTTGTTGTTGCCGGTGTTTTATGATTGTAGTTGTAACGTGGTGGTCTTGTCGGGTCGTTGCGGAGGCTATGCCGTCCTCTCGAGCAGCAGTCGTGCCGAGTCGACCCGCTTCAACCCCATGTGGGCCTTGCCGGCATCGAGGGAGGCGCTGGCGGCTAGTCTTCTTCCTCGTCCGAGGACAACTCGGCAGTGGTAGACTCGTCGGGAGCCCTGAGCTTCCCCTTTGTATCAGTCTCCGAGTACTGAACATGGGCGCGCTTCCTTGTGCTGCGCCTAAGCGTAGGGGCAAGACTTGGGGCAGAAAAAATCATTAACCTTCCGCAGACCCTGCTGTTGCTGCTGCTGCTGCTGCTGTTGCTGCTGCTGCTGCTGCTGCTGCTGCTGCTTCTGCTGCTGCTGCGAGGCCTCCGCGCGCCGGGGCTTCGACATTGCTGCCCCGCTGGCGCTCACAGCAGGCGGCTTTGCTGCGCCGTCGGGCCCCGTGGCTCCGCCCCGACATTTATCGGCGCCGTACCCGCTGGCGCTGGAACTGACACTTGACGATCCTGCCAACACCGGCGACTGTCTTGTCCCCTGCTGCGGGGGACGTGACGGGCGAAAGAACCCAAGTTGTTGGAACAATGGACGGCGGTAATAGCGTCGTGCCTTACACTGCATGCGTAGAGGGATGAACAGGAGGTAGACTGGGTGAGTTTTGATTCGGAAAAATGTCTTCGGTGCCGGGTACGCACATCGACCGGGAACTTGGTAGCATTGTACTGTTGAGGCTAAGCATCAAATTTCCTTTGGCTGCACCAGAGAATACATCTCGACGATCGCCGGACGCTCTGGCTTGTCCAAAGCGGTACGTGTGTGACAACACTAATGCTTGTGTGGTCGTCCTTTTACAGATCATCAACAGCCACGTTTGACCTTTAACCCCCGGAAGGTATGTACACCGCGTGAGAGCAAGGAACACCCCCTGACGAGCGATTAAAAGTTGGAGCAACGGCAACAAGAACATCAGAGCCCATCGGACGCGCGATGGGACTGCTACTACACGCGAAGCACACCCTGAACAAGCAAAATTTTAGTCTTCACGGAGCCGGCGAGTTCTCATTCCGCCCACCAAACCAACCCTCTGCCACACCCACCTGAAGGTGTGGTACAAAGGAGCGTTCACAAATGAAACGGACGGCACGCCTCTTCGATACAGCGTCTCATTGCACGTTCTATTTCGAGGAGCGCTCGCTTCGTTTTTCTTCCTCGAGCATAAATACTAAGGGGTATTGTTAACGCAACGAAAAAAAAACGCTTCTTTTCACGGAACGGTGAAAAGAAGATCCGATTATTCTTCGCTTGTTCTAATCGTGATGTCATCGCGAAAGGTTCGTTTCCTTCCCTCAATACACGTTTTGCTCGACACACAACAGGTTGACATGGTATTGCTCACCATAGAGCAGCGGTGAAAGCGCAATGAGCAGCACCCGACACAGAGGACAACACACTTAGAAAGATCCCGTCAACCTGGCCTGCTGTTTTCAGTTTTCAGCAACAAAAGGCGCAGGGCAGAGTGTCGCCACCTGGGTGTTGCTTGCGATTTCTTCAGTTTGCCAGCTCATTTTTCACGGTTGCGACTCTCATCTTTTGACCACCACCTGCCCAAAGGTAGACGAGCTCAACAATCATAGGGCGGCAGACGCGCTGACGGCCAGCATCATATAGATGGCCAATCCGAAAGAATTAGCGTGTCGGAGGCCCTGTTGCTCTACTGCTGCGTAGTGCCTTGGATTGATGTTGATGCGTCCGACCAAAAACAGATCATCTCGCCGCATTTTTTCCAACGGCATTTTGGTGAGGTGGCACACGTCTCTCACACACTTTATTGAGCAGCACCCAAGCACCCAATACCCACGAAGCATCACGGCGCCGGGAGATGGTATCATATAGACAGCCGAACCGAAGGAATCAGCGCGTTGGAGGTCTTGGTGCTGCTGCTGTACTCGTTCTACTGTTTCCGTCTTTGCTATGTGTGATTGAAAAAAAAAAACCAGCACCAACAGCAGCAGTTGAAGACGAGAGCACCACGCAATGCCTAGTTTTGGGCCAAGAACGGACTGAACGTCGCTTCTGCCGCTTGTCCATCTCCACAACAGACCTGGACGTGAGTCTGGCAGGTCTTTCTAGCGTTCTCAGTGATGTTACAGCGCCCGCGGTGCGCTTGTCCGATGCTTCTGTCAAAAACACGGATTCGTGAAAGTAGCAAGCCCCAAAAAAACCCGGCTCCTTCTTTTCACGGCTTTCGGGGAAACACGCCTCCATAATTGTTCAAGAAAACACGGTTTCGTTTTTTTTTTCGTGTTTTATTGGTCGATAAGAACGACCCTATGGTCACAACCCAACCGAATGAAAATCAGGTTTTCTCTACAAAGAGACGACACATTCCGGCCGTCGTTGTTTGTTTATTCCATTCCCACAGCCACGATGAAGGCGCAAGGAGATCTTGAAGGTGAGTCACTTCAACTTCCAGAAGAAGTACCCGACTGCAAGGAAAATTACCCCACCCACGTGCAACCTGTTGACAGTGCCAAAAGAATTTCGTTGGTATCAAAAGAGATCCTTGAGGGCCAAGATAAGATCGAACCTAGACAGTGAACACTCCATCGCATCATCTCGTGCCTCCTCTTCATGTCAACGCCCAACGCAACCGCAAATAGAGCTCTCAGCGCACCGCGAAAACCACAAACCGATCACAACGTTGTTCTTGTTTTCGTCCCAGGGCCCACCTGTACGTCCGAAACTGTAGTCGGATGCCGCATCGACCTTGGAGCGACGTTCTGGCCTGTCGTAGAGGTCTTCCGGCTCCACACCCTCCCGTGCCCTTCTCGCTTCGGCGGCCGCTGTCGCCCCACCGGCAGGCTGCTTGACCCCCAATGGGATTCATCACAGCAAGAAAACAAGAACGAGAGCGGCAGGGCGAACAGCGATATAAGCTTGGTGGACCAAATTAAGATGACAACTCGTCGACTGGTGCCCCTTCCCCATGCAGTCAACCCCCAACACAAACACACCGCAACACGTGCCACACATTTACTTGCATCGCTTCGTTCGGCTTGTTCGTGTTAGGCTTGGTCCTCTTCCGTGTCGGACTGTCACCGATTCCACCACCGCGCCCTCGCTTGACGGCTCTGATGGTCCTTGGGCGTTTCTTCTGTACGAGGACTACGGCATACGTGGGCACGCAGCAGGATAGAGGCGTGGTGTCATTTCCCGCCCACCCACCCCTGTTGGCTTCGAAGGTGTTACGTTAATTTACCAAGACATACGACGTTGCCTTTGGTTGGACAGAAAATAGCAAAGGTCTGCACCCCTGCACGATAACGTAGCCTGGGGTGTACAAACCAGGAACCAGTGATCTCTCTGCCGCTCCATCTCAGACGCAATCGAATCCAGTTGCGCATGGCATGGTCACCCAGCGGTGTGGTTTCCTACGGGCACATCTTGGCCCGCGGACAAAACGACGTAGGAGACTACTCTGAACTGTGAAGAGAGGGGCCTCGCAGTTCGTCGGAGGGCTAGAGTAAGTACCTCTCCAGACCTGAAATCAGGCACGGTGCCCCAATTCCGTGACCTGTCTATCGCAATCTTACAGTTTTCTCGATGCTTTCGAAATTTGTCATTATTTTGCGGAAACGTCACGGCAGAAACAACCCTTGGCCACCACAAGCACACACACGTGCTCTCGCTCGCCCCCGGTAAACACGGCGAAGCGAGTATATACTGAAAACAGGAATCAACACGCTCGTCCGCTTCCTGCTTTCTGATTGGCCAACGGTTTATTTCTGCCGCTTCTCACAAAACGCAGATTTCCCTTACTTCGTCAGTCAATCTTTCGCAGTACTGTCAACATCGTAAAATAATCTGAAGCCTGAGATCGCAGAGTCCGGCTTCAGTCCCACGGAAAGAGCCGCCTTGTGGTGAATCTCGCGGTTGGTCGGCTTTGCACATGTAGTCAATTCAATTTCAAATTTTGCAAACCCTGCACAAGGGTGGATTGGGGGAGTTTTCCCACCGAACGGCAGCTACACGTAGGCTAATGTATGCATACGCTTTTTGGGGTGGAACCTTGCAGAAGACCTACGTCCAGCAGCAGTGTTGTAGTTTTTTGTTTTTTGTCGAACTCTTTGGTGTGTGTACTCACACAACGCTCAGATCTTTCTCCCTCACACTGCTGTACGGCAACGTGACCTACTACTGCTGTACAGCCCTGCACAGCAGTTCGTTGGATTGCGACAACGTTGTCCCAGGTCCCTCCTCTCTCCTGGCGGTAGCTACAGTGGCTGTGGGGGTATCATCCATCGACCATCAGTGTATCATCCCCAGCAGATGTACGTGGAAGTACATAGTGAAGCGGAATATCGACGGTTTGAAGCATCGAATCATCGTGCACCTCGCGACTCACCTCTATCGCCCTGCTGTCGCTCATCCCTGACCACCACAGGAGAGTCGTCGCACTAAAATTGACACCTTCCCCAGCTATACCATTCGACCCACCATGCATGCCACAGAAACCACCGAGGTTCCCGAAGCTCTGTGTGCTTCGGATGCACTGCGATCGTGCACAGCAAGCACGGCTACAACAGCAGTGACAGGTGACTGGTCGCCCCGAGAGATGCGGGGGGATTCAGCACCAAGAGAGTCGTCATGTGCTGCTGCTGCTGTTGAAGTAAACTCCATACAATTCTATACAACCTCAGCCACGCGGCATGAGCAACCAGTCCACCCTTCTACCTGCCGTCACAAGCGCACGCACACTTGCAGGAGGAGGAGAGGGCGGGACTGAGGACTGAGGGTTGAAAGGGGGGGCTCGCAGATGGCACTGCATCCCATAATAAGCAGCTGCTTGTGATTCCTCCGCACTCCGCACACCCACCTCTGCCCCTCACGCTTCTAACCCAAGGAGGTAGATTGGGGACGGGATCAAACAACAAACAAGGGGAGGAGTTACCGGAGCTCTTGGTTCAAAGTCTTCGGGTGGTGGCAGAAAACGAGAGGAGCGTGTTGCTGCAAGCGAGATACCACAATCGCCCCTGCGACCCGTTTTATTCGTCGGTGAGTTCCCGATTTGTTCCTTTGCACCTTGGCTTGCCTTGGGTAACCACTTGCTTTTGGTCGAGGCGTGCTCAGGTGCTCATTCCATCTGGAAAGAATGCCGCGGCCAGCTTTACCATTTGTCTTTCCCTTCCATTATCGACAAGCGCTCTGTATTAGGGTTTATGTACGCTGTCGGTATTCCCGCCGTTGTTTCCAATCTGCGTGTAGAAAGAAAAGAAAAGAAGCTATCCCACCATCCACGTGCGTTCGCGTTTGCGGGAACGCGGGAAGCGCATGCTGCAACAAGACGGTCTACTTTTCCGAACGAGAGCTTCTCTCACGCAGTTAGTTCATCGAAATCCCAGCAGCTTTGTCTATTGCACTGTGTGCACAGCAGTGCACAGCTTCAGTGCACAGCTTTCAGCAGCACGGCGTATTTTGAGTTCTATTCTCCCGCAAGCTCCCTGCGATAGTCTAATTGGTGATTGGAGGTGACGTGACTCTAAATCGCAGGCAGGTTGACGGGGTGTTTTCGGGATTGAAACTACGGTTGCCGTGTCGCCAAATCAACTCCGTGCAGGTCCCCTGAGCAATGGCTTCCACGGACCGTGAAGCACTGGTTGCCCTGTTTCGTTCGACCGGCGGGGCTGGATGGAGGCAGAGAGGCAACTGGGACACAGATGCTGCCATAGCGACATGGCATGGAGTCGAAGTCAACGCCCAGGGCCGGGTGGTAAATCTTTCCCTGGGAGGAAACAGCCTCCGAGGTGTACAAGGAGTTCTTCAGCATTTAGTCTACTGCTTGCACGTGCTTCGTGTAAAGATAAATGTGCTTGACCATCCCTACGAATTCGTGTAGTAGATGCCTGATCAACGCTTGCAGCTTCTAGAACACGCGGACACGTGTAGACTACTTACTCCCTACACGCGTGGAAGTAGGTACGTTTAGAAACAACTCATTTGTTCTTGAGAATTCCAGCAGCAACAGCCCTGGCAAAATCCAATTCTACAGGACCCATCCCACCAAGTATCAGCGCCTTGGAGAGCCTCAACCTTGGCTACAACGAGTTAGATAGTGACCCCGGGACAGTCGAGCGTGAATTTTATTTCAACTTCTGGAGAAGCAAAATGCATGTATCTCGCCTACGTACGTAGGTGAGAAGGTGTGTTCTAGAAAGCGGGGAGATAATATTTTTTTGCCCCGCTGAGCTATTCTGTCCCCCCTGTCCGCTTTCAGGCCACATCCCACCTGAGCTAGGGGCTCTCAGCGAGCTGCAGGAGCTGTGGCTCAACCACAACAAGCTCACAGGTACCAAGTACACATGTTGCGATATTGTTGGCAGGTGTTTAAGTTATGTCATTTGATGATGCTGTGGAACATCCCGTGTATGTAGTTGGATGGACGCGTACGCATTGGCGTCCACGAAACTTCAGAAATAGCGGGTACGAAATTTCACAATTTCGGAACTCGCGGGACATCTTTTCCTACGCATTTTTTTCTACAACTGTCCTCGCTGATATTTGCTCCCTGCTGCATTCTTGTGCAGGACCCATCCCCAAGGAGCTGGGAGCACTTAGTAGGCTGGAGACGCTTTGGCTCGACGACAACAACCTCACAGGTGAGAGAATCGAAGAAGAGTTGAAAGTTTTCTTGTTCACGAAATAAGAATCCTGCCGACGCGTTGGCGTCCACGAAACTTTTGTACGGGACCAATGTTCTAGAAAGCGGGGGGTTGTTTTCTTTTGTCCCGCTGAGCTACTCCGTTCCGTCCGTCCGCTTGCAGGCCCCATCCCATCGGAGCTTGGGCACCTTTCAGCACTGAAGAAGCTCTACCTTTCCCGCAACCAGCTAAGCGGTGAGTCAACATGTGATTTGATGACTGTTCCACGACCGATTTTGCGGCGAGTCCCGTGTACGAATCTCGCTGATGCACGTGAGTGGACGCCAACGCGTCCGCGTCCATAGTTCTACGGAGATCGAACATTAACTTTTTGGTGGTCCCCCCCCAAATAATGGAGTATTTGTTTTGCTTGTCTGTTTGCAGGGCCTATCTCGTCGGAGCTGGGCAAGCTCACAGCGCTCGTCCTTCTCAACCTGTCGAACAACCAGCTGTCCGGTGAGTCATGAAATTGAGCATGAATGCCGCGTATGTAATTGGCGGCATAAAAGTTATCCCGCTAGTTCTGAAGTTTCGTGGACGCGTACGCGTTGGCGTCCACGAAACTTTTGTACGGAAAACGCGGGGATTTTTTTTTAGTTGGCGGGACGGATCTTCTAGAAAGCGGGAGGTATCTTTTGCTTTTATCCCGTTAAACTGCCCTGCTTTGACTCGTTCAACTACAGGCCACATCCCGCGGCAGCTAGGAGATCTTGGCGCCCTCAAGACCCTCGACCTCAGCTACAACAAGCTAGAGGGTGAGTTGAGTAGATAGTAAAAAACATTTGTTCTTTCGACTTCTGAACCTCCAGAACATCGGTCCCGCCCCCGCGTATGTAATTGGCGTCATGAAAGTTATCCCGCTAGTTCTGAAGTTTCGTGGACGCGTACGCGTGCACAGGATTCATCTGCGCATACGGCAACTTCACAGAAGAATGTTGGAATTGTGCGATATGGGCTCTAGGGACTCACCGCTCAGCTCGTTCCCGTTGAGGTATAGCTCTAGCAGTGCCGTGAGTTCTCCCAGCTCCGCCGGGATGGTGCCTGCCAGACGAAAGGGAATAAGAAGTTAGCCGGGGAAAACAAAATAAATCCCCCGGCGTCAAGAAAAACGTTCCTGCCAACGCGTTGGCGTCCACGAAACTTCAGAACTAGCGGCATAACTTTTATGACGCTAATTACGTCGGCAGGATTCTTATTTCGTGAACAAGAAAACTTTCAACTCTTCTTCGATTCTCTCACCTGTGAAGTTGTTGTCGTTGAGCCAAAGCGTCTCCAGCCTACTAAGTGCTCCCAGCTCCTTGGGGATGGGTCCTGCACAAGAATGCAGCAGGGAGCAAATATCAGCGAGGACAGTTGTAGAAAAAAATGCGTAGGAAAAGATGTCCCGCGAGTTCCGAAATTGTGAAATTTCGTACCCGCTATTTCTGAAGTTTCGTGGACGCCAACGCGTTGGCAGGATCCACTCACTGGTCTAGAAGCCGGGGCATTACTTTTGTTTTGACCCGCAACCATCACTCCGTTTTCCTTCTTCCACTTACAGGTCCCATTCCGCCGGCGCTAGGAAAGCTCGCAGCGCTTCGAGAGCTAAACCTCGGCGAGAACCAGCTAAGCGGTGAGACACTCTTTAGATGTGATGAAAAAAATTCCCATGAATTTTCATTATGAATCCCGTGTATGCGTGGGTGAGAACGAAGGTTCGCAGTTTCGGAACTCGCGGGACATCTTTTGCTACGAGTTGCGTTAATTGAGTAGGTGTTTCTAGAAGCCGGGGCATTTAGCTTTGATTCTTCCCGCTACATTATGGGTACTGTGTTCTCGTTTTTTCTCCTTCGATTGCAGGTCCCATCCCTGTGGAGCTTGGACGGCTCGCCGTACTGGAGTACCTCAGCCTTAGGGGGAACGAGCTAACTGGTAAGTTATTTTGTTCGAGTTTCCAAGATGAATCCCGCCGATGCGTTGGCGTCCACTCACGTGCATCAGCGAGATTCGTACACGGGACTCGCCGCAAAATCGGTCGTGGAACAGTCATCAAATCACATGTTGACTCACCGCTTAGCTGGTTGCGGGAAAGGTAGAGCTTCTTCAGTGCTGAAAGGTGCCCAAGCTCCGATGGGATGGGGCCTGCAAGCGGACGGACGGAACGGAGTAGCTCAGCGGGACAAAAGAAAACAACCCCCCGCTTTCTAGAACATTGGTCCCGTACAAAAGTTTCGTGGACGCCAACGCGTTGGCGTCCACGAAACTTCAGAAATAGCGGGTACGAAATTTCACAATTTCGAAACTCGCGGGACATATTTTCCTACGCAGTTTTTTCTACAACTGTCCTTGCTAATATTTTCTCCCTGCTGCATTCTTGTGCAGGACCCATCCCCAAGGAGCTGGGAGCACTTCGTAGGCTGGAGACGCTTTGGCTCAACGACAACAGCCTCACAGGTGAGAGAATCGAAGAAGAGTTGAAAGTTTTCTTGTTCACGAAATAAGAGGACGCCAACGCGGGACATCTTTTCCTACGCATGTTTTTCTACAACTGTCCTTGCTGATATTTTCTCCCTGCTGCATTCTTGTGCAGGACCCATCCCCAAGGAGTTGGGAGCACTTAGTAGGCTGGAGATGCTTTGGCTCAACGACAACAGCCTCACAGGTGAGAGAATCGAACAAGAGTTGAAAGTTTTCTTGTTCACGAGATAAGAATCCTGCCGACGCGTCGGCGAGATTCATGTACCTTGTGTCAACAAAATAGTAAATGAAATGGATTTCATCTCTGGACTCACCATCTAACTTGTTGACGGTGAGTCCGAGTGTCTTCAACGCGCCAAGCTTCCCTAGCTCCGGAGGGATATGACCTGCAAGCAGGAGAGCAGTACGAGAAAAACAGAGAATTGACTAAATGCTTCTCCGCCTCCTCACCGACACGCGTAGCAAAAGACGTCCCGCGAGTTCCGCAATTGTGAAATTTCGTACCCGCCTATGCATGGGTGAGTAGGTGTTCTAGAAGTCGGGGGATTTTTGTGTTTTGCCCCGCTTACTATCTCCGCTATCCCCCCTTTGGCTTGCAGGGCGCATCCCGCCGGAGCTGGGAGCTCTCAGCGAGCTGCAGGTGCTGGCCCTCCACAACAACAAGCTGACAGGTACCAACTTTTGCAACTTTCTTGGGGATGTTGAATGTTTACCAAACTTGTTCCGTGCATGAATCCCGTGTATGCGTAGGCGGGTACGAAATTTCAGAACTCGCGGGATAACTTTTCTGTACCCTGCCAAACTACCCTGCGTTGACTCCCTCGTCTACAGGCCATATCCCGCCGCAGCTAGGAAATCTTGGCGCCCTGCAAGACCTCTACCTCAGCCGCAACAAGTTAGATGGTGAGTTGAACACAATTCGAAATGCGTTATATTTTCCTTCAAGTTGTGAACGTGCATGAATCCCGCGTATTAGTAGGCGGGACCGATGTTCTAGAAAGCGGGGTAATACTTTTTGTCCCGCTCAGGTACTCCGTCCACCCGTCCTCTTGCAGGGCCTATCCCATCGGAGCTGGGGCACCTTTCAGCACTGAAGGAGCTCATCCTTTACGGCAACCAGCTAAGCGGTGGGTGAACACGTGATTTGATAGCTCTTTCCCGACCGATTCGGCGTGAGTGGGTACATTTGGTTTAGTACATCCATCTCCGTAGATCCTGTCCCGCCAACTACGTAGGCGAGTACGAAATTTCAGAACTCGCGGGATATCTTTTGCTCTACCTAATTTCCCTATGTCTTGTGTACAGGACTCATTCCCAAGGAGCTGGGAGCGCTGAGTAAGCTGGAAAAGCTTTTGATCGCAAGAAACCGGCTTACAGGTGAGGAACCGAAAAAGGTCGATCTGGATTCAAGGTGAATCCCGCGCACGCATACACGGGATTCATCTTGAAACTTCATGGGAATTTTTTTCAACACATCTAAACAGTGTCTCACCGCTTAGCTGGTTCCCGTCGAGGTTCAGATCTTGAAGCGCTGCGAGCTTTCCCAGCGCCGGCGGAATGGGACCTGTAAGTGGAAGAAGGAAAACGGAGAGATGGTTGCGGGTCAAAACAAAAATAATGTCCCGGCTTCTAGACCAGTGAGTGGACGCCAACTACATACGCGGGACAAATGTTTTAGAAGCAGTGTTTGGAAATACAATGAAATAAGACCCTTGCAGTTGTTATAAGCCGATTGAAGTTTCCACCAAGCTCCTGCGGCCCCGTGAGCGCTCCCAGCTCCTTGGGTATCGACCCCTCACAATGCAACAGAACATCAACATACAATATGGGAAGATCGCGTAATCAAGGCTTCTAGAAGATGTGTCTTGCAGACAGGGTGAGTAATACACGACTCACGTGTTCAGTTCTGAACTGCTGATACATACGATAGGTTTTGTGTTGCTTGTGCAGGGACCATCCCGAAGGAACTCGGAGCTCTGAGGCAGCTGGGTCATCTTTGGATTCCCAACAACCAGTTTTCCAGTAGGGATTGTACCAAAAGCTGCATTCTATGCATACATCAGGTAGTTTTCCAGCACTTTGAGAGTAGCTCGTTATTCGTGCGTTACGGCATGCACACGATCTGTAGACACTATATAGATATGCAAGGGAAGCTCACCGCTGAGCTTGTTGAAATGCAAGTAAGTCGTTGCCAGTTGCCGAGGCGCCCTAGCGATGCTGAATGTTCTCTGCGGGTCACTCGGGGAGTGTGCATGATTGAGGTTCGTCGGTTTAACCCGACGGTATGTCCTTACTTGTGTCACGGTTTTTCTGTTCTACAAAATCAACCGATCACACCACGTTTCCATGCAGGACTATGGCACACACTCGGACAGGACCAGACTGGTTCAATGGCAGCCCGGCCAGGTGTGTTGAATACGTTGTTCGTTTCTCGACGGTGATATTGTGCCAGCATGTACATAGGTAATGGTCATGGGGGCTGATGAAAATAATAACCTATGGTGCACCCGCTCTATCGTGTGCTTTGCGGGGCAGTCGCATAGTTCGGAATTGGGAGGCCTAGATTGAATAATGGATGGCGCCAAAGTCGGTCGTATGGTTTCATTGGGCATGCTCTGTATGCAAAATACTTGTGTTTGCTCAGTGCGTGCGGAGAGCATCCAGGTTATCGAAAGTACCTTTGAAGCTTTGGATGGCGCTTGCATGTTTCACATAGGTGGGCTGACCTGATCTGCCCCTGCTACGCTGTCGATCTCGCTGTGTGGTCTCCAGAGCGTGTTTATTCGTCCGCGTGGTTTGACACAAAATTTCTACCCGAATTGAAGAGATTGAACCAAGGATCTATTCCTGCCTACACAGCAGTGTTTGTTTGAGCGTACCTTTTTAGGGTAAGATAGCCTGTGACCACTGGAACCGACCGCGTCAAGTGTTGGATAAGTACCGACATATGAAGGTACTGGGTAGAGAGAGATCGTAACGGTTTTTAATGTGAAGACAACAACAACAAGTGTTACGGAGAATATAGTGTTTTTTTTTGTCGGTGCCCGGCAAGTTCGAACGTAATTTGAAGGGGAGGCGGTACATCCACGCCGCAACTGGAAGCCTAGTTGTGGACGCGGAGGGTAGGTGACCTGGTCGAGATCGAGGCGCTGAGTAGTGTGGTATGCACACCCATCGTTGCAGTTGGCAGCATGACTATGCATCGCTCCGCCCGACCACATGTTGTGCGTTAATTGATGCTTTCTAGGTACGCTTCCGGTGGATTTAGCCCGTCTTCTGGACGTGTTTGACGGGCTTCGAAGTTTGGACCTTTCCCGAAACCCGTGGGAGCACCCTCCCGAGGCGATCGTGGCGGGTGGCGTGCAGGCGGTGAGGGGCTACTACGAAGCCATGTTCAAGGGCGGAACTACCGCTGTGACCCGACCGCTTAAAGTCGTCATCATTGGAAAGGAGACTGTTGGCAAAACAAGGTACGAAGGCCACTTATCGATTTCTCCGTTTTTCCTCGTACAAAATGTGCTCACTCGACTTTGTGCAAGTATTTTCTTCACAGGTCCCACATCGCTGACCGCTGGGGTACGAGCGCCGACACTAACCCGCTGTTGTAAGTCATTGAAGGACGGTGCTATACAGCCATATTTGTTGAACGGTGAGAGCGAGGTCCGGCGCTCCACAAATGTTGAGTGTGTGTAGGGTAAAACTGTGTCCTGCAGGGGAATATGGTCCAACCAATGCACCTGCCCTCCCCGCGGGATCGCCAGTGCGATTGTTTTTCGGTGCTTCTCAAAAATCTACTGTTGATGTTGCGAAAATCATTGGCGACGTTCGTGTATAGGTAGGTGCAATCAGGGCGGCACCCCGTATACGCTTCGAACAGTAGCTTTCAAAAGTACCGTAATAGTAGGAGAGATAACACCGGTCGGAGAGATGGCAACGTTCGGGGTGATGGCACCGGGGTGCAAAAAAATGCAAGAACGACATGATTTTATTCGATTTACGCACCGGGGTCGGTGAGATCGCACCCGGATCTCACCGACCCCCAAATCCAACATTGAGCTCCTTTGCAGCTGACGGAATTAGGCACGTGTGCGTACCTTTCGCACGTGGGGACGGTGTCCGCGGAGCATCACTCTTGTCCTGCATGCACGTATGCATGGTCGCCGTTCGCGCGGGATGTCAGTTGCTTTCATTCTTTTATTGGTATGGAAGTTGCCAGCCGTACACTCAACCAAACACACAACGTACAAGCCGCACCCTACCCCACTCTACACAACACGAAACTGTTGTACTGCTGCGCACGTACTGGTATCCGTAGAGGAAGACCGAAACGAAAGCAGAAGATAATCTGATATCGTATGTACCGGTACCTCAGAGGGAAACCACATCGTTTGTTGTCCTTGTCGCCATAGCCAAACTCGCCTTCAAACACAAGACCCCTCGCTGCATGGAAAACTGGTACCAGCCTACGTTGCCATTACCGGTGTGCTTCCCACCAGCAACAACGGTACCTACACGTGTATGCAAGAAGACCGTGCGTGAGCGTGGGTATGCCTACACTGTATGGTGCCGGTCGGGGAGATGGCACCGGGGTGCGTGCATACAACACCTGTGTGTATTTCATCGGGAATCGCACCGGTCGGAGAGACCGCACCGGTGCCTTGAAAATCCTAAACGAAATGCTTGAATTGATATTTCCGCACCGAGGTCGGAGAGATGGCACCGAGGTCGGAGAGATGGCACCGGGGTGCGATGAATAGCCCAAGGAAAACGCATTTAACAAATCGATCGCACGCAGTGCCATCTTTCCGACTGTTTCGGTACGAATCTACGTGGCTCATTCGTGGGTCATTGTCGTGCGCTGCTCTTCTCCTCCGATTGGCATCCCCTCACGTGTTGTAGTCACACTGCGGGCTGCTCCGGCGCGAAAGATAAAACTTGAGCGGCATAAGTGCCGTGCGGGCGTCCATTATCACATGAATGGTTGGTTTGACTCACCTTGTTCACTCAATGCACTGCCGCAGTTTGCGGCGCAGCATCACGACCGGGGGGCCGTGTATGACACAAAACGGTGGTGTGGAAAGCACTGTCCACGTGGATGTCGAAGACCACAAAGTCGATGGTCATCCAATTCGGATATTTGATTGTGCCGGTCAGGTGAGACCCATTGTGTTCCTTGCACACGCGTGCGTTGACCCAGTCAGCTTGCGTGGTGGGTCGGTGTACTTTTGATTGGACGTTCTGTGGCAATCATCGAGGCCGAGGTTGGAGGTCGAGATCGTTTCATTTTGTCGTGAGCAGCTTCCAACCGGAGTTTCAAGCTATTCGCATGGACGTTTGGTGCGAGTACAGGACGGGGTTTACATGGCTTTCATATCCCAGTCCGCGCGGGCGCACTGCCATTGATATCCGTCAGCGGACATGATCTTATTGCGGGGTGGGGTTGTCTAGTTTTCTTCATCGTTTTCAGAAACATGCAGCCGGCGGGTGACATCGTCCGTCCTTAGTCGCATCATTCCTCGGTCAGCATCATTGCGATAAGGACTTCACACTGTCCTGGACCCCGGCAGTGAACTAACACGTATCGTATTCTCCTGCACCCTGTTACTTAATTCACTTCCTTCGACACCATGTATCCGTCATGTGCGCCCCTCGACGTGTCTGTGATCCCCCACCTTGACCACCGGACAGGTTGTCTACTACGGACTGCTCCAGCTATTTCTCACCCCTCGTGCCGTGTACCTGTTGGTATGGGATGCGGCGAAAGCCAGCGAGATGGATGGCTTGAACCTTGAAGACCTTGCCATTGCCCCCTGGCTACGTTACTTGACTTTCCGTGTGCCGAATGCAAACGTGATCCTTGTGGGGAACAAGTGGGACCGCGTGGTAAGGACCAGGGGTACAGTAGCGGATGACGTAGAATGCGAGAGCCGCCGATGGCTGAAGTCCTGGATGGAGAAAGCACATGGACATCAACCCCACGGACTTTCGTTGGAAGATGGCGTCAGCCTTGTGAGCTGCGCGCAGTCTTGCCTAGGCGTCTCGGCACCAGCGTTCGGTGGGGGAACAGGCTGGCCCTGCGACAAGAGCACCCCGGGGCTTTTTCATCGCATGATATACGATCCTGTCGATGACAAGAGGACTGTTACCATGCATCTTCCGCCGAGCTACCGACTCGCCCTTGAGATGCTTGAGGAGCTGGCCTCTTCCAGTAGGTAAGGCCAAAGATGTTATGTATTTGTCGCCAAGTCATGCAGTCCCAGTACATCGATATGCACGTCAACGGCTTAAGCGATGTGTGTTTTTTCCACATGGAGCAATAGCGTTGCTGTGCCCGCTCAAGCGTTTCAAGCATTGCACCACGATTGTGTGTGTGTGTGTGTGTGTGTGTGTGTTATCATCTTGCGGTCGGGGATGCATTCATGGAAAGTTCACCTCCTCTCGATCGGACCCGTGCAATTTTAGGCGCAAGGCCGAACAACGAACCCGGGGCATCACAAGAGCGGATTTGGAGGAAAAGTGGCACGCCAAGGTGGCTGAGCTGAACGGAGCCGGCACGCCGGTAGCCGCCCCAGAAGCGGCAATGCCTGGTGCGATCTTGATCAGGTAAGTTCAATCGGCGGTGCGGTTTTGGGTTGACTTTGTGCTTGGTTGCCTACGAGTACCAGCTGTTCAACGTCCTGGTTTGCATGGATCGGAAATATATTTTATGTTTGTGATGTTTGTGTGGCTTAACATCAGGTGCACACACCAGGAAAAACGTTCACGTTGAATAGAGTAGAACCGTTTTCAGCCAGTAGAGCTAGTGCACATTTATGCTCTGCTCTGCGTCCCACTTGCTGTCGGGCCCGGTTTTTGTATCGTACAACCTCTCTGTGTGCAGGAAGTGGGAGGGAGGGCTGGTGGAATACGGCAACTACGTCTTCCTCGACGTCGAGTGGTTTGCCACAGTTCTGGACCCTTTGTTTAGTCACAGGCGAGATTCATACGGCGACATTGATCTGGGTGGTATTCGGGTGACCAACCTTGCAAGCTTGCGCCGGCTGGACAACGAACATGTTTTCGAGCCGCAACTCGCTGAGGAACTGTGGACTCCAGAGCTCGCACCACACCTTCTCCTGGCGTTGAAGAGCGCAGGGCTGACGTTTCCCTTACCGAACGACCCCAATGGGGGCTTGGTGATCCTTTTGCGCATGGACACAACGCGCCCACCTGAGTATAGTATCAGGCGCGAGGAAGCAAACCAAGCGAGGAAGTACGACCTCACGCTTTCTGTGGCATGCTCGTTCAGTCTTGGTTTGCCCCCTGGTTTTGTCGAGCGTCTCCTAGCGCGGTGCTGCCACTTGGGCTATCCTTACCCCTTCTGGCGATACGGGGCTTTGATAGTGGGGAACGGTGCGGAAAAGGGGTTGTTCTCGCTGAGTTTAGACTACTCTGAGCACGACAACATGCTGAAAGTGGAGGTTCTCGGAGGAGGTGAGGAGGTCCATGCGTGGGCGGCCCTGTCGAAAGTCCTCTCCGTCATGATCAAGATGCTCTCGGAGTTCCCTGGTTTACCGTGCGAGCCGATCTTTTTCTGCCCACAGCACAAGACCAAGGGCATGCCGATCAGGACGACAGATGTAAGCGCCCGATTTCGATGCTCAATATTCACCATGATTTTTTGGATGGTCGTATGCATATCTCCATGGTAAACAAAGTGAACTTGCAAGTAAATCAGTTCTTGCTGGTCAATCAGCACGGTAGCTGCCGCTATCGCGGTGTTTTTTTTTCTTGCTTCGGTTCATTCAAGTTGTAGATAAGTGTTTTTTGGGCACGACAGACACTAGGATATATATTGATGCGCACTTCATGAAAGCACCCGTGCGCGCTCTCATGTTTGCAGGCACCGCCTGGATCTGGCCTGGTCGAAAAGGGTTACTTTTGTCCACTCTGCCAGGACCCTACGGCGGGCAATAACCTTCTAGCAGCTGCTCTTCAGGTTGTGGAATTCTCGGATGAGGAGTTCTTCGATGAACCACTCCGTCAGAAGTTTGCCGAGAATGCAGAGAAGGTGGCTCGTAAGGGTTGTGCTTCACAGCAAGGAAGCCATTTCGAGGTGGGGTATCTTGCACCACATGCAGTTGGCACAATGTGTAGGCGATGTACCAGTCTACAGGCACGGGCCTTCCAGGGTCGTATGAAGGCCTTCGTCCATGCCATGATGTGGCTTGAGCTGTACGCATTGAAGGTGTCGTGTGGGACTGCTCAGGCCTCCGGGCATGTTGTTTTGCTCGTCTCGCAACTCAACTGTTGTTTTCATTCAGGGCGGGGTTTCGGGTTCGACCTCTTCCGACATCAGTCCGAGCAGCCGAGCACCTGCACCGACCAGGTCTAGCAACCAAGCACCTGCGCAGACCGGTTCGAGCAGCCAAGCACCTACACAGAGCAGCCCGACGGGCCAGGTAGTTCAAAGTTGTCACAGCATTAGCCAGGGTACATGCTCAAGTTGCGATCGATATGCCGAAATCTGACTAGTCTATTGGCTGACTAGTCTAACGGTTTGATTCGGCTTCTAAAGACCTGTTTGATGTATGTAGAAATTCAAAAACATGGCGGAAATTGAGCCACTTAGCCCCAAAGCTGCCTTGATAGTCCGCGTTCCACGGTTTCCACCGTTGCATCGGCTTCACTCGCCTGTTTCTTGTTGATTCTAGAGCATTGCGTTGTGTGTCTTGGGCTGCTGTACTCTCCCGAAATGTGCGTTGCGCTCCCGTACCTCACATCGGTTGACTTTCCTTTCGAAAGCAAATCGAACAGTAGCGACAAGCAACGTCCGTTATACTCCTCCTTTGCGTGAACAGACCATGACAAACGTAAACTCCATTCCGTTACTGGCATGGATGTACAGGTTTCGGGGACGCCATGGTATCAGGACGTGAAGACGTGGGTAGGCGCAGCCAGCGTGGCGTGTCTCACTGTCTTTGGGGTATTCGCTGCCAAGGAAGACGACGACCCTCGTCTGTGGGGGGTGTTTCTCGGCGTTGGCATGTTGTTGATTGGCGGAGAGTTCTTTTTGATTGCCAGAGAGCACAAGCTTTTGTGCTGCAAACCAAGGGTGGACGCGGCGAGTGCTGTGTAGACCCCGTCTTGTCCGAACCAGGACTACGCGAGATGTTGGCAGAGGCAGAGAGCTTTTGGATTTTCGGTTTGCTCAGGGTACGGGGGGAGCTCTTGTGCCGTTGTGGGAGGAGTCGAGTTGCGTGTAATGGCGTTTGGTATGACCACTCAGAGGGTACTGTCAAACAAACGTCGCGCGTGCACCTGGTGGTTCAGAGACAGCTAGACACTTGCTGATTTAGGGGGTACTCTCGGTTTGAGTTGTTGGTGAGGAGGCACTCCTGCAACCCCGCGATGGAAGCGCCGAAACTTGAAATTCGCCTTTCTCACCATCTCAGATAATTCGCCCGTCACTCTTCCTGCGTTCGACGAGACAACCGACAATGTGACCGCGGGTGGGACCACCACAACGTCGTTGCGAACAGTCACCTGCTGCTGAACTCCATTTGAGGGCGCTGGAACTCTTGACACCGTACAACGGCTTCCCTTCTGTTGCGCGACAGGCTTTAACAAGTGCATCAACACGAAAATCTCCAAGCAGACGAGACGTGAGGGAGGGCATCCAAGAATGGACCCGCACGTCTGATCGCATGAACTATGTTTCCAAATTGAACGGACCACCGAACACCTGCTGCGCCGGAGCCTAGCCAAAAGTCCTGCTCCCAAAAAAATGACACGACGTGCGCTGACCAAGTGCTAGCTTCCGAAAGATGCCCCGCGAATTTCTTGCTTCTGATGTGGCCCTGCGGAGCCGGCTGGTCTGGGAGATCCCAGCAGATCAACTTGGAAAACAACCACGAAAAAGCAGAATCCACTCCCTGGCTAAGTCGACCCCGGCGGCTCAAGCGAAAAAAAAAAAGTTCTACACAAAACTTATCAAGCCGGTGACCGCGTGCGCCGCCCTTCCGACGCTTGCTTCTGCTATACCGGACCAGACACAAGTCCCAGAAAGTCGTCCTTAATGCTGCCCACCGCTTTCTGTTGCCGAGGGTGTACGCGCGCACAAGCAAGGCAAGATATCAAGTCAGTTGAAGGGTGTGAAGGGAAGACCTGGGAAGGGAAAAAGGAGGTGGTAGCGGGCACGCTACCGACGGACACCGACTGTTGGTTCGTGTTGGATCAGTGGCTGGATTAATGCGCCGCTCGGCACGTGCTTCACACAGGAGCAACACCACCGCACGCCATCCTCGAGCTCGATGAAATATATTGCCTCATCCGGTCCTATTTAGCTGTTTAAGCGTTTGCCATTCGAGGCGGAAAAGGTACGTCCCAGACATCCCGTCGAGAGCAAGATGGTTTCCAGATGCCGAAGACGCTTCCCCTTGACATCGGTGCAGGCGGTTACAGTATACACACACACTTGAAGCCGTGCCCTTGCTGAAAATCAAAGCTTCGCGAGACTGCGATAGCCCGAATGCAGACACGAATATTGCCTGGAACACACCGGATCATCTCACCAACTCTGCCCCAACGGTGACTCCGATGATGCGCAGCCGTACCCCGCAGCCGGACTTGATCTCCGTATCCGAATCCTCGGAGGATACCCACATGTCTCCAACCGGATCGTAGCCCCCCGCGATGTCGTCCGGCATGCCCTAAGGAAAAAACGAAGCCCGGTCGTGCCGGGGTCGTAAGTAGGAGGGGAAAATCCCAGGGATGTTCACGGTGTGGAACCGCATCCGGTTTTTTGTATCTTGACGTGGTCACGGTGCGGTGCGGTGCGTTTTCTTCATCTCGATATTTGACGGTGCGGTGCTGTGCGGTTTTTTCAAATCACGGTGAGGTGCGGTGCGGTTTTTACCATCTCCAATTCGACGGTGCGGTGCGGTGCGGTTCACCGTCGCACGGTTTTTATGACGGTGCCGTTTTTTCTACCCCGTGACAAAAACCGCGCGATCCGCGGCCTTGGCAGCGGTACACCGTCGAAGAACATCGCGGAGAATACTACGGGGGGACAAAATCATGATTTTTTTTTTTCGTGGAATACGTTAGGGTTAGTCCATTGGTTTGAGGCCGACACGACAAATCCCGCGGCTTGCAGTCAGAAAACCCGAAAACCCCCGACCAACGAGAAGCTACTGATCATGTACTTCGTTTTCCCAGTCACCATACGTTCCGGCAACACGAGCTACATTCCTCACTTCTTTCTACTACTACTCCTGTTGTAGGAATTTATGCGAATATGCTAGAAAAAATGGAGAAAAATCTGGCAGCATCACCAGGCGGCTCATGCACGCCACGGGCTACAACCCGCGAATACGTTGACGACGGTGCGTTGCACGCTGCGAACCGTCTTCGGGGTGCCCCCAGTTTGCGCGGCACCAGCAGCACCAGCAGCAGTGGTGGAACCACCGGGAGAAGGAGATGGGACGCGTGGCGACCACCTCTGCACGAGGCTGGTCGCCATCGTCGGGGGGTGACTCCATCAGAGATGGGCAGAGCTGTGCACGGAGCGTATCGCAGCCGTGGCGGTGTGTGTGTGTCGTGTGGGGACGCGGTGTGGCGCGTGTGCTGGTTCAAAAATAGAAGAAAAATATCAATTTGGAAAGTTCCTGGTGTGTGCCTGCACGACAAAACCGTGCCTTACCTGCGTTTTTTGCCGAAGTTTACCGCGGTTGTTGTGGCTACGGGGTGGGACAAACCGCACCGAATAAAACCGCAACTACGGTTGTAAGTGAATCCTTACGGTGCGGTGCGGTGCGGTGCGGTGCGGTTTTTCGTCTCGAAATATGACGGTGCGGTGCGGTTTTGTGCATGTCGGTATTTGACGGTGCGGTGTGGTGCGGGTTTTTTTCATTTGGAAATGTCGCGGTGCGGTGCGGTGCGGTTAAACCGCACCGCACCGCACCGCACCGCACCGGGAACATCCCTGGAAAATTCAGAGGTCGACAAAAAGGAGTACAGCCAGAGGTCGACAAAAAGCGGGAATAGTCAGAAGTCGACCAGCAGGGCTATAGCGAGAGATCGACAAAAAGGGGTACAGTCAGAGGTAGACAAAAAGAGGTATAGCCAGAGGTCGAAAAAACAGGGTACAGCCAGGGCGGCCCCACATGGGAAACGAAGTCTGGGGCAACGAGATGGAATAGAGGGTAGACTACACCAGTCTCTCGCGACTTGCCGTTGGTCGGCCTGCCTCCGTGTGCGCCTGCGGAGGCCAGCGTGGTTTGCACTACAGGAAAAACACCAATCGCGGTGCCAAATACCAAGTACAACCAAACGTCGGCGTCTTGCACGCAAACATGACTTGTGCACTTGTTTCCAAAACCATTGTGGGATTCTCTTGCCATCGTGGTCCCAAAGTTACTTTGCCCGTGACCCGTGTTTACGTCATCAGTCTGCCCACAGGGTTTACGACAGCCATCGGTTTACCCACAGGTCACAGCAGAACGGAACAAGGAAAGGGGCTGACTCGCAGGGGCCAGACCGCAAACGAGATTGGAAAAGGCACCAATGTTTTGGGCGTCAACACAGAATCAACGGCATCGACCACAAGCAGCAACAAAAACAACAACAGCACCAGCACCGGCACTAGCACCGGCACCAGCAGCACCAGCTGCAGCTCTCACCAAGCGCGAGACGAAAACCTCGAGGGGCCCGACTTCCGCGAAGAACCCGAGCTCGGTCACGTGGCTCACGGCGGCATCGAGCACCTCGTTCACGAACGGCCGGAAGCAGATAGCGCGGTAAACTACCAACACGTTCGCGAACCCGGTGTCGAACTCTATCGTGCCCATCTGGATCTGGTCGTCGGATACCTTTGTGAGGTTGACATGAGGAAGGTCGTCGGTGTTGAGTGCACGGAGCAACTGAAGAAAATACTTGAGAAGGCACATTCGATAGGTGCATACGTACGACCGCGGGGAGGACGGGAACTCGGCACAGCCACGTGGTAAAAGAAGAAGTTGGCACTCTGTTGAACACGACAGTCTGTGTCCACGGGATGAATAGATGCAGCCATGCCCATGTACGTCATACCCATGTACACCCTTCGTGGGGCTTGGGGCAAGCACCCCGCGGAGGTCCCACCGCTCCGTCATGACAGACACGCAACACACGGTGGGCACTACGAAAGGACACAGGAATCGAGCTAACACCGACGCTCGCACAACGGAGAGCCAACGATCGCTACACGGCCGAGAGCTCGTGCAGTTTGACGGATTCGCCGACTCTGTAGCATCATGGGCAGCGGCCGCCCTCAACCGCGTGAGCAAAGCCACCAAGCCATCGCACTAGCCCCAGCACAAGAAACACGATAAAACTCAAGAGTGTCGTACTTCCTTCGATGGCTCTTCCGTTCCCCACTGTTCGACCGAAATGGGAGGACGACCTGAGGCGCACACAACACAACCGGCAGTACAATCACTAGTGGAACGACAAGCGGCTTCCAGGAAGAAGAACAAAAAAGGCCGCTCACGTTTGTGACGGTGATGACGAACCCCAGGGATCCCACCGAAGTCCCCTCGACCTCCTCGATAAGCTTTCGCCTGTCGATCGCAGTCGGCAAGGAAGGGGGGGGGGGGGGGGGGTGTACTCATAGTCGTGCATGCCGTAGTCGTTTGACCATTGACCTCGCGTCCCTACAAAGCCGGGACGGAGCACGCCGGGTTCTCACCGGCCCAGGCTCTCACATCACCAAGCGCGAAGCGCCGTGAGGTATTCGGCGAGTCGCATGAAGGGTGAGCTGCATCCTGCTAAGGGTGTTCGGCATCTTGTGCTTACTGCCTTGCGTACGGATGACAGCTGCGTATGACTTAATTTATTTTCTGGTGCTTTCACTTCCAGAGACAGTTGTAAGCACTGTGTAACTGCCTCGAGGAAGCTTGACCATTTTAACACAACGTGGTGCGATCATCCCCCGTTGCGCGGAGTGAGGTTTCTCGACCCCGCACAACATGATCTACTCGACCACCATTATGGTTACCGCCAAAAAAAAAACGAGGAAAAAAAAAAAACGGTAACCTGGTTGCCGAGTTCACGAAGTGAATTGGCTTGTATTACAACGTCGTTGCCAAGCGACGAAAACCCAATCCCGATGGGAAACACCGAGTGGGGGGCTTGTTTTACAACGTCGTTGCCAAGCGACGAAAACCCAAACCCCGATGGCAAACACCGGGGGGGGCGGCTTGTTTTACAACATCGTTGCCAAGCGACGAAAACCCAACCCCGATGGCAAACAGTCGGCAAGGAAGGGGGGGGTGAAAGGACGTTGATAGGCCAGAGCAGCGGCAAAGCAAGTCCACTTGATTGATGTTTGGACGATCGGCGAGATCAAAGGAAAAACACAACACAATAATCGTTGGACAAACACAAAGGCCCGAAGGCCACACGCTCCTGTAAGCATATACAACGGTCACTCGGGACGGGTCTCGCTCCGCCTTCACAATCTCCGTATTTAGGGGGGGAAACATGCAGTATCTCAAGCGCAGCGGCGGCACCCATGAAGGCTCCGGATTTGCGTCGCTCTGAAGCAAACAAAAAAATCCTGACGAAAGATTCGATCTCGCCTGAGGTCAAAAACACTTTACGGCGAACGAACGCGGCTGCCAGTTTCCAAGTGTCTCGGATATCGCGAAACGAGGATAGCATTACACCCGGAGTTTATACACACGACTCTTTCAAGTCGCCAAGAGGAAAGACCAAGAAGGGGGGGTGATTCTCGTATGGTCATTCCTCACCGTATCGTGTCCTTGAGCTTTGGCCCGAAATCTGACGGCGGGACGAGCATCGGCCGACGCAGCTCTTTCTGCAGCAGCGGCAGCGGCAGCGGCAGCGGCAGCATGCGTTTTCGGAGAATCCAGTCAGCAGCAACAACAACAACCAACAAGGTAGGAGGCGTTGAAGTTATCAGCAGTGGCCCTCACGATGGGTGCTCCAGCCAGTCAAGCGGCGTGCATGCTTCTGTAGCGCAACTGTACTGACCACGGCGTTTGTTCGACAGAGGTGTGTATGTAGGCGCTTCGTACACCACCACACACAAAAAACATGCATGGCGCTGCAGGAGAACGAGAGTCCAGCCGCATGCCCCAGCTGGGCCGCAATTAAAACCGGGGCTACGAATGCTGTTGTTGAGGTCGCCCGCAGCTAAAGGGGAAATAAGCCAATGTTTGTTCGGCGACACAAGATGGAATGTTTTTCTACAAAGTTTGAATCTATATGTACCGTCGGTGTGTTCTCGTTCAATGGCAACAAATCTCCCAAAATATCCATGACCAAGACGAAGGTCGTATACTGGGGGAGAAAAAACGCTTGAACATTTTTCTGATCCGCGGGGCCCCCTGCAGCGGGGGACAGCAGTGGAGGAGAACTGGAAAGAAGAGTTTAGCCTCAAAGTTGGACGGCGACGATAGAACGTCAATACCACGAGTGCCCTTGCCGTAATACGGTCCGTCTTGGCGAGAAATCAAATTTTTATGAGGAAATAGAACAGGGAGGGGATACGCAGACCCTATCCCTGTCCTTATCCCTAACCCTAACCCAACTTCCCCAATTGCATGCCCTCATCCAAGCTTGATAAATAATAGAAAACCCTGCTAATATGTAGGGATACTGCGTGATACCACCCCTTGATGGCAACGTGCTACAGCAGTAGTATTACTGCTGCTGTCCTGCGGCTGCCAATTATTTGCCATGTCCTCTCTGTGCGTGGACGTTGAAAACATCCGTGTCGCCCAGAAAGCGCTTTCAGAAGACAAAACCAACATCGTGGTTTGTGCGCTGCCTGGCGGTGATGCAAAACAAGCACGCTTCCACGGTGCACCCGACACCTTGTCGTGCAATATATAGCAAGGAGTCCGTCGTGCACGATGGTGGGGAGGGCCTCTCAGCGTTGAGCAATGTAATGCGGCCGCATTCTCACAAGCCGACGACGCCTCTCACTGAAAGTATATATGTCTTTATGTGTCTGGACCTTTACGACCGTGACGTCCGCTGCTACACTCTCAAAATTTACGCACAGCAGTTTTTTGAGTCAATTCAAACCCGGTTCACCGCTAGGGGCACCAGCGGATGCTCCACAACCATCTCCTTCACCATTGCTCTCTCTCTCTCCCAACTCACAAGGTAAAACATGTTGCCGCCGACGCCAACAAGCACCCCCCCCCCCGTAGGATCTGTGCCCGTGGAAGAGAGCACTCCCCTCCTTTCTCCAACAGCCCACGGCCCGCCGACACTGCTTGCTGCCCACGGGACTGTGAACTCTCCCTCTTCGCCTCTCACAAGAATTGTGACGATGGCGTATGCGGTTGCTGGTCCCAAAACCCAAAGGCTTTGATTCTCTCTGCTGCTGGCAGTACTGCTGTGGGAGCTGACAGACGTGGCGTAGAGCAGAGGATGATGGGATGTGGGCATGCTTCTCGAGGCTCGAGGGCGGGAGGGGGACAACACCTGGTATATTCTGCGGCACCTACCGTTGTACCTAATTTGCTCCGCTCGGCTATTGGCCGTGCCCCTCCCTTCGAAGCCAAAGCCAAGCCCGTGGGTGACTACAGACCTGACTAAAAGCAATCATGTCTCGTGCGTTGCTGTCCGAACCTCCAGCCAAAAGGCAACGTGCCCAAGGGGAGGGTGACGGAAACGCCGATAGGCCGGGCTTGGCGGAAGAAGATCAAGAATTTCAGCGTTTGGAAGCGGTATCAAATGTCCAGGACGAGCTAAACGCTCTGGAAGAGGAGGAGGCTCAGCAGGTGTGTTTGCTTCAAAGGGCGACAAAGGAGAGCGTTTAGCTGCAGCAGGAGGACAAGAGGCCGCCCGTGCTGGCTGCTGATATTGCAGCTGGTGCTTACGGCAGTTGCTGCGGATGTCAGTACGGAGGTGCTCTCGCCTGTACCTCGACTCAAAGTGGATCCCGTGCAGGAAGACATGTTTCCTACCGTTCGAGTAGATCTACATGCACCGACATGTGGCGCCTGCTGTGCCGATGGTCACACCCTAGCAACAACAATGCTGGGTCCACGCAACACTCATTTGCGTCATGGTCCCTCCTGTTGCGTGTATTCAGAGTTTTTCGGGTGGTCGGCGACAGCCTCTCTTCCATGAAAGCAGAACATGGAATATCCCGCACCTCCTCCCGTCCCCTCCCCACTACGTACTACAGTTGTATGCAATTGCCACGTCCACACCAGGCTGGAGGACACCTTTCCTGCCGCGTGTTCCAAGCGTTCCACCGACCCCACTCGCGAACCCTTTCGCGTACTGTGATTGTTGTTGTTGTTGTTGTTGTTGTTGTGTTGACATTGAAACCGTTGCGGTCTCCCCTCAGTTCCTTCTAATATCGTTGCTGGTTCAAAGGACTCGGACGCCTTCCGCGGTCACAGCCAAACTACTATAAATAGATGTACCATGTACCTGCTGAAGTACCCAGATTGGGCGGTACACCTTTTCTAGGAACGCGATAGGTATTTCCCCCGCTCGGTGCTCTCGTACGCATGCCTGTCCTTATGAGCGTGGCTGAAGTTCGTGCCCGCCAATCACCTACCGCGACTTGCCGGTTTGGGGCCGCGGTGTTTCTCAAAGGTGCTGCTTGTCCACAAGGCGTTTCTGAAGCGCAAGCGTCCGCTGTACATCAAGCGGCAAGAGGCAATCGCGCAAGTGCCGGATTTCTGGCTGAAAGTGGTGAGGGTTCGGTTGCTACGACATTAAAATTGCTAATACTGTAGTTATCGACACATCGTTCTGCGCCCCCACAGAACCCGACAACGGCTTGTGAAGGGACGAACAAGCTGGATCGCCTGGTCGCTGTAAGAAACGGAGACAGCATGCATCTCAAGCTGGTGGAAACTTGCACTGCTCTTCTCCAGCTACTTGCCATTGCGACTTGCTGGCGTCCGCTGGGGTGCGGGCTTTGTAGTGTTGTTTGTTGTGACACGGCTGATTTCTAACGCTGTGAAGAACGAGATGTAGCGGTACGTTGACGCGGAGAGGGTTTCGTCGTTTCCCTTCTTGCCCGTTTTCCCACCCCATCCACGCCGTTTGTCCCCCACATACAAGCTTGCCCTTTCGCTTGCCTCTCTTCGTCTACACCTTGTCCTCCTTCCTCCTCCCCCCTCGCCCCACTCCCAAGCTCCTCGCGCACCCTTTGACTCAGCCGTACATATCTGACGGCGATCAGCTCGCGCTGTCGTACCTCGAAGCAGTGGCTGTCCACAAAGCTACCCCTACAGCTGCGGCGGTGGCAGCGTCGGGGGCAGCAGCGGGAGCAGCGGACGGTGGCAAGGGACGGAAGTCAGGAGCATCGGAGGAGGAGAAAGAGGAGGTGTCGGAGAGTGTCGGAGGGGAGGGGGGGAAGCTGGACGATGACGACGACGTGGGGTTCCGGGTGACCTTCGTGAGTGAGGCGATACGGCCGGACGTAAGATGGACAAGCCATTTGCCGTCATATGTGCGGCACGCCTCTTGTTCATCGTCCTCTGTGTGTGTGTGTGTGTTTATTATGTGCATCGACCGCCCTAACCGGCTGATCTATGAAAAGACGTCAGTCTCAGTGCAGTTGAAAATGCAAAACACTTCTAAATGCCATCAACTGGGACCCCGTTAGGGTGGCATGGGAGAGACAAACCTATTCTCCGGATCAAAGACAGAAACGGTAGCAACAGAAGAAAAATGCACACATCTACGAAGGCTGCTACTTTGCACTCGATTCCGTTTTGGAGTGCGTTCACCGTCATCCTCCTTCACCCCAACCCAACCCTATCGCCTCTAGCCCTGCATCGTTTGTGGTGGGGAAGGTCACCTGGCTCGAAGCTCTTGCTCTCTTCCACGCCATTATTCCCTCCTCGACTGCTTCTTTGGTCTCTGTCTTGTCCTCCTCCCGTTCCCTCTCCTCCTCCTTCATCGCTGCCAAAGGAATCCCCCTCATTGCCATCCTGGTCGTTTCTATGTGCACTACTATCGAGATCCCAACCTATTGGCCGTGGTGGGAACTGATCAAGAAGTAGCCCATGACGTTTGAAAACATCACGAGTTCGTACGGATAGAAAACGAGCGAGCTCGAAGGTAAACCGACTCCGAATCCTTTTGGTATGAAAGGCCTTTGGGCGAAGCAAGGCTGTTTCGTCGTCGAAATTACCCTTGCAAAAGTCTTCATATGCCAAGTGGTTGGCGATGGCTACGATAAGTCGATCTGTGCCTCTGCCAAGACCACCATTCGTTGAAGAAACAGCAGTATGGAGGGTAGATCTAGACGGGTTGAAAGTTCCCGCATAATGATTTGCCTTAATTGCGGCTCGATCTTCGAGGGCGGGTCCTGGCTTTTGGATCGGCTTGTCGATGCTTGGACTTGCGGATGGGTGACGATTGTTACGTCTATAAGAATGGACTTGGTGCAGAGTTCCTCTTCTTTATCTCCTGCATGTAATCCTCGGGGGATCACCAAATCCATCTTGTAGAGCCCTTTTCCCCTTACCAGTGCCTATCGTAAGAGGGGAATAATCTTCCACTGCAATAGGCATGTGGCATTCGCGTAACGTCTTTATTATCACGCGAATCATCCTGTTGTGCAGGAAGGTCGATGCACCGGTTTTTGCGCGCGCGCGCGCGTGTGTGTGTTTGTGTGTCTGTCCGTCTGTCTGTCCTTGAGGAAAGTTAACATGCCACCCGGTGGTGGCTCCGGACGCGGTCCAATCAATGGTATTGCCACCAGTTGGACCGTACCCCGATGCACACCCTCGTCGGTGGCCTCATCATTCCCGTATCTCAATCGCAGACGCGCTGTCTCCTTGACAAACCCATGTACCCCGCCCTCCACCTTCATTCGCTGATGGTCGATCCTGCGTCCGACGCACGCAGACTTTTCGAGAAAATCCGTTCTTCTCTAACTCGGAGCTCTGGCGAGAATGGGAGCCCGCTGACGAGAAGGTGGGGACTGCATCAACGCGTTAGCGCCACGGCAACAGCCCAATTCTGCGAGGATGTGAAAAATATGTAGTGCGGTCGGTCGTTGCTGACGGGGCCGGGGCCGAGCTTTGTGTCCGTCGTGTACATCGCACCTCACCTCCCCCGCGATTGTATTTATCTCCCTCCCCGGTGCTCTCTGGGTCTCGTGTTTTCCGACGTTGGCTCTACCTGCCCGCATGGTCCCACGGGTCATGACGTAACGCTTGCCGTAACGAACGCCTTGCACGTGTGAGTCATGCGTTCATTTTTTGCTCGCAGTCGTGCCGGACTGGACAACGTGAGGCAAGGCGGAGATGCGTAGCTCCGGAGAGGGCGGCACTGTTTTCTATGTCCTGCCCACAGACGCACACTTGATTAACGATTCGCCAACGTTAGCAGCCCGTCGATGACAGCAGTAGGCGTGCCCATTCCTGAGGTGCTAGAGTTTGAAGCATGTCGGGCAACAGTGCCACCTACAGGTGAAAAGCAGACATTTCAATCCCATGTGCGTGCTTTCATCGAAGTGTTGCGGGGTTTCGCGCACTTTGGGAATCGTGGTGTATCCCAATTTACACAACCCTCCCTCTCGCTCTCTGTCTCTCTCTATAATCCCAGGCGTCGTTTTCGGTGGTGAACTGGAAGGATACAGACGAATCCAGGGATCTGCAGTCCTGCCTGCTCTGGAACCTTGACCCGGCGCTGCACGAGGAGACGCCGTCCTTTTTCTCCGTGCGTTTTTTTTTGTTTGCTGTTGTTGGGGTTGTTGGTGTTGGTGTCGGTGTTGGTGTAGGTGGTGGTGGTGGTGGTGGTGGTGGTGGTGGTGGTGGTCTTGCTGCTGCTGCTGCTGCTGCTGCTGCCTCTGCTGCTGCCATCTCATGCTGCTGCCGCAGCTGCTTCTGCTTGTGGCTATTATTGTTGTCGGCACTGCCCCTGTTGCTGGTGTTCGTCACGTTCACCTCAGTGTCTTTTCCCTTGAAGATAGTCTATAGCCTTGTCGACGGATGACGCCACTGTGCGGCACACACGTTGTCCGACTTCGTTCCGAACCGTTGCTGCTGCTGTTGTTCCGCGTGCGCCCGTCCTCCCTTGTCTGTTTGATTGGGTGGGGAGACAGATTTTCGGCGACGACATGGAGGATTACGAGCTTGGAGAGGCGCTGCGAGGAGACATCACGGACAACCCGCTCGACATCTACATGCGGGTAAGGAACGGCCGCTGTGTACGACGGTTTTACTCCCCCACGGTGCCAGGGAACGAAGATATCGCCGCACACATGCTCGTGGGGTTACAGATTCTTTGGGTTGTTAGTGTAGGTATCGTGTCGCGGTTGAATGACTCGTCGCACCTGTTGCTCAGGGCACTCGGTAGTGCATGCACCCCTTAACTTTACAACGGGCAGTAGCGGACAGTTCGATTCAGGCGAATAGTACCGGGACGCTTGCTTGAGGCCTGAGGTGTTGTATTGCCACCATCACCGAGGCGACGGCAGAAGCACCAGCAGAAGCGGCAGAAGCACCAGCAGCCTTGGCCGTTCCGCCGTCTTGCTCTTTTCACCCCTAAACCCCGCCTATTCGTTCCGCTATCTGGTACGGTATACCGTACCAGCACGACTTCGACGCAGAAGCATCAGAGGAGGAAGAGGAAGGCGGAGCCGCGGCGCAGCCCGAGGGAGACGGGGAGGGAGGAGAGTATGATAGTGGTGTCAACCAAATCGGCGGCGGGTTGGAGGAGGGTGGAGGAGACACGATTGTCGATGAAGGATGACGGTCGATCGCGGTTCGAGGAAGGGATTGGTGCAGAGGGTTGAAATTTTGACTCGATTCCGGGCGGGATTTCGCAGAGGTTTCGGGCGGGGGGGGGTTGCCCTCGGTCACACATGCGCGGAGAACGAGCGGAGGCACACAGCAGGTAGAGAAGCTGCGACGATTCGACATTTCGTGTGCCATGTGTTGGGCCTCCCGTAGTGTATGCGTAGATGTTGTTACATGTTCGGCGAGAGAAGGTGCCCCGTTCCGCGTGTTGTTTCATTGGCGTGCGAGTTTGTATGTAGGTGAATGTGTGTGTCGTTGGCTCCTCTATCATCGCCCGACGCCGCTAGCCGGCCACCGAGTGAAAAACACGACGACGGCCTCGGCGGGCAAAATGATGCAAGAAGGTCTTTTGCCCAGCGGCGTGTGTGAGTGAATTCTTTACATGGTCGCAAGTGGCCCATGATGTGAACATGTTTCGGGGAGTCTTTTGCGTCGCCATCGCTTGAACCGGAGCACTGACGAAATCGTGGTACCCTCCGTCTACACGCGGTGGGGACGACAGAGATAAACCGCCCATTATACAGTGAACGCTTTGTTGTCCTCCGGGGGGCAGAGTGGGCGCGTGCCCCGAAGTTTGGTTTGTGGCGTACTCCGGCTGGCTGTTGGAATTTCGCTGCAGAGAATATTCGGTCACTTACCAACACGGGGGCGGTTGCTTGAACGGGAGCACTGACGAAATCATCATAGCCTCCGTCTACACGCGGTGGGGACAGATGAACCGCCCATTATACCGCGTAAACAATTCGTTGTCCTCGGGGGGACAGAGTGAGAGTGAGAGTGAGCGCGGGGGTAATGAGCGCCCCGAAGTTTGTTTTTCGACATATCTGGCTGTTGGAATTTTACTGCAGAGGGTATTCGGTCACCGAGAGGGGGCGGCGGTTGTCGTTTACTACAGGATTGAGACCGGGGGGTGGCGAAGGCATGGATGAGGGCCGCTAGAAGGGACTTCCTGCTCTTTCGATGTTCTGATGGTGATGAGAGGGCAAGAAGACGCACATACTGTTTTTCGTTTCTACAACTTGTGCTTTCGTAAATCACAAAAAGCGGACGTGGTGACGGGTATTGAGGTATTGATGCGCTGAACGCAGGCAGGAGAGCGTTGCCATTGAGGCTAGCACCGGCCTGTCGGAATTCAACGCGAAGAATATTGGATCACTTTCAAGGGAGGGTTGCTGGTATGGGTTACAGGAGTGAGGTGGAGGGTGGCTAGGCATTGATGAGGCATGCTTGGAGGCACTCACTATCCTCTTTCGATGCTCTGACGGGCTTGCGAGGGAAGCAAGAACCACATGCTGCTACGTCGTCGTGTTTGCAATGTTTGTGCAAAATTAAATAGACTAAAATATGCGGGTGTATTCACGGGTGCTGAGTTCTTGATGCGCAGAAAGAAAGCACGGGGGAAAGTGGTGCCGATGAGGCTAGTACTGGCCAACTTGCATAACGAGGAATAGAGCACGCAAGAGACAGTTTATTGTAGACCTTATCGTCGCTTCCGCTGGTCGGCTCGACCAGTTTTCACACCGAAACTATTAACAACTGAAGACAAAAAACAACAATGCCCCAGTAATCAAGTCTTGGAGGTGACCAGTCACCCTCGGCTTTGCTGCACGCCCCAGGCTCCCTATTCCAACACAAGTTCAATATCGAATCGGCATCGTGCATCTTCACGGCCAAGAAAAATCCAACGTGCCGCGGCTGCCGTAATGTTTTCCACAGCAAGAACAAAGACGGGCCGGAGCAAATTACCGCCCAGAATTGAAGTTGGCAACGCCGCCATCGCCACCCATGTTCTTGCAGCTTAAAACAACCAAGACGTTCGTCACATTCCTTGAGCACGCACTACCATATGGTACCGCGCGTCGGAAAAACCATGGCCCTCCCTGGCTTTCCCGGAAACCGATAAATCGAAAAAGTGGTACTGTATGAATACATTTCATCCGCCGTGACACAGCAGTGCGAAGACAAAGAGAAACTTTTCCACACAGACAGCCGAGCCAACCTTCAGAGAAGAATCCGCCGTACCATTTGCTAAATTCACAAAAATGAAAAGTCACTGCTGAACAGACGCAGCTCTCGTTCCTTGCCGTTGTCATGACTTCCAAAGCTTTAGCAGCCCTTCGTTGCTGAACGTCGCCAGCAAGTTTCTGCCAGGAGGAACAGGACCGAACAAACAGCACATAGACCGCGGTGGCGGGTGGGGGGAGGATGAGCAGTCGCCGTCGAAAGTGCAGCGCGGTCACTCTTCGCGATGTTGCGTCACCCTGAAACGCCCCTCCCACGCATCGCTTCCATCAACACATGCACCGTTGTGTATATGTTTACCAAATTCTTGATGCACCACACACGCGGGTGTTGTCGCTGAGGGCAGCATGGCGGCAAACGTTCCAATCAATGACTGACGCCTTCAAACAAAGGGCGCACTTAATCTCGTGCATCGAGAACACTTTTCGCAGTGCTTGGACAATGGTATACCTGTGGGGGTGATGCGCCAGGCCGATGATCTCCTTCTCCGACACCTTGAGCGTCTTCTCAACCTCGGTCGTGGCCGCGTCGAAGCAGAACAACTCCCCGTCTTCCCCCGCGCAGTACACCCACCGGCCCTTGGGAGAAAGGCACGCGCACGTGAAGTCTGCGCGCACAGACTGTTCCGCGGCACAAAGTTCGAGGATTTGGGGGTGGCGGGGTCATGTTCTGTCTCGAGGTAGCCGGACGGAGGAGTTTCCATCAACGGGTAGGGTCATATTCTGTTTCAATGAAAGAGGGCACAAGGGTCGACATAAAGTTGAGAGCGAGACGCCAGCGAACACATGTTCCTCAGAAGCAACCCCTCACTCTCAAGCGTCTGCCGGCGTGCAACACTGCGACGAAATCCGCGGCAGTACTCCCAGCTCTTGCGTATTCCAAGCCCGAACTCACACTGGTGCTACTCGAAAGTACTAACCTATCATCTATCTTCAAAGTCCAGGTAGGTAGTGCGGTGCAGGTACCACAGCTGTTGCGGTGCGAAGGAAAGATCAAGACAAGATAAAGCCGCATCTCGAAAATGTTGAATCTATGTCCCCGTCACTTCCTCTACTAAAACGATGTTCAACCTTTATGTCCCCGTCACTTCCTCTACTAAAATGATGTTCAACCTTTATGTCCCCGTCACTTCCTCTACTAAAATGATGTTCAACCTTGAGACTTGGTTGTTCGTTATCCACTCCCTACTCGAGCCTTCTCTCCGGCTCAACACGGAAATGAACTCGTGGTCTCTGTTCACTTCTTCACACGTCTCTGGAACCACGAAAGGTAATCAGCCTGCTTGCCGTGTACCCCCCCCCGCACCTCGCTCCTGCCAACGCTCCATGGAGCTATTCCCAACCTCTTCCACACCATGGCAACAGAGATCCATGGATGCGCTGTACACTTCGCCCGTCTACGGATTCAAACACCAGAAGGGACGGCGCTCCACATGGACGTCCACAACCCAGGATACCAAACAGACGAACTACGCGGCCGTCGGATCCCCTCCTGCCCTGCCGCTCTGTCCCGGGGCTTCTTCACAAGCACCGTGCGATGCACGCACCTTCACCGTCTCAAAGTGCGCCAGTAGGGCGGCAAAAACACGACTTCAAAAGTCATGCAGCCCCCTTATCCCCGAATACTCTTTCTCTCTGTCTCTATGTCTCTCTGCCTCTGTTCTCTCGCGCACCTTCGGGCTCGTGAAGCTCCGCACCACCTGTCCCTGCAGGGTGCAAAGGAAGGCCGTAGACGTTCGGTTGGACACCAGCACCTGCTCGGCGGAGCCCGGCAGCGGGCGGACCGTGTGCACGCTCGCCTCCGTGTGGGAGCCGATGGACAGGGCGGGGTGGAACGTGTGTAGATTCTCGGTCGTCTTCGCATCCCACACCTGACAAGAACGACAAAATACAACAAGTGGCGATCGAGAGTTCAACAGGGCGGCGGATGTCCGAAAGGTCCGGTGCCACGTAGTTCATGTGCCAAACAATATGCCGCGTTATCGGTGTCGATCTCGTGAACGAAAAGCGAGTGGTAGAATGGGAACACTGTAGTGCAGGACCTCAGGTTTGGAGTATAATACGTGATTCGTGCCAGCCGCGGTAGATACAGCAGTGGCGGCGGAAGAATGCACCCGAATGACTTGCTTGTTATTACAGCGATGGTGGGTACTTGAGGTCTGTACGGGGAGCCTGCGCTTCCGATGCTACCACTTTCTAGGATTGTCATACCAGGTTCGTGGGGAATGAGTCTCGTGCACGCGAGTGAAATCGAGTGAAAATAACTCCTATCTCTAGTGTGCTTAGGGCGTTGTTTGGGCCATGGTGGCAACAGGATTGAAAGCAATAAAGGCCCTAGGTCGCATGGTGTCAACCTCTTTGTGACAACTTTTGTGACGGTTTTGGTTCATCCCTACCGCGTAGTGAAATTCGAGTGAAACTGAACCCGCAAGTGCCACCATCCAAACAAAATGTCGATGTGAGTGAAGGCCGGAATGAAAAGAAACTGCTCCGATGGAAGCGTAGTACGTCACTAATGATCAAACAACCCATCTGCAACTCGGTCAAACCAAGTTAGCAAAAATAATAATGTGGTGTTGGTTCGGTGTGGAGGGTCACAAGTGTAGCCAAGGAGATGTCGATATAATGGCGAAAGTGGTGTCGTCGTTCTCGAATTGTGAAATTTGGTTTGAGAGTATTGAGTGTCTTGCACGTGAACCCGAAAAAGAGATATTCACACCTCTGATGGGATTGTGATTTTCTGGCTGAGGTCATGGTGACCGGTGACAGACGAACTGAAAGCCATGCAAGTTCTACGCCGCCTAGCGTCTGGCTTGCCGTGATCATGAGAATTCAATTCGCTCGAACGTACTGGGGCGGTTGTTCTGACATCAACCTGTTATATAAGGTTCTAGCGATACGGGAAGTGTGCCTACGCTGCCGACCTAAAACGAACATGGCGGTCTCAAGACCGGAGTGAAGAAACAATGCATTTGGGTAATCTGTTGGCCTGTGGGCACCAGTGAAACACAACAAACAACACCAATAGACCGCAGTGCAGCTCTCGCGGGGGGCGGCGCGGGTGAAGTTCGATTATGGGAAATGAATCTCGGTCGAACAAACCCGAGTAACAACTATTCACATGACTCGTGCATTTGATGCACATGAGACCATGGTGACAGCACACTGAAAGCCGCACAGCTCTAAGTCGCCTAGCGATAACTCTCCATGATAGTAAAACGTTATTGATTGGATATACTAGAGCTATTGTTCACAAAGCAACTTGTGACAAAGTCCTATCCGTAAACTGAAATGCAATAGTGAAAGTGAGAGACTGAAACTGTCGAAAAAAACAAGACTCGTGTGAAGGCCGGAGCAAAAAAAAATGTACATTTTTGTATACGGACGTCGGTTTCATGACCAACGGGCGACGGTCGTTCTGGCAAATGGGACATTATGTTCCCGGGGAATGAGTCTCGAGCGCGTGAACCAGGGTTGAAATAATTCACAAATCTAGTGCGATTGGGGGGTCGTTGCGGCCATGGTGACAGCAGAACTAAAAGCCGTCTAGGCAACTGGTGTCTGATCCTTTGTTATGGCTTTCGTGCATTTGCGGTTCATACGACTCAACGAGGGAATTGCTAACGCACCAAGAGATTTAGTGGATAGTGAAATGCAAGTGAAAATGAGCCTGAAGCTGTCGATCGAAAATTCATATCAACACCAAAGTGAAAACATATTCCTGGATTACAGAAGCGGCGTGTGTGCCGTCGAAAAACAAATGAAACGAAGCTGCAAAACGAGCCATTTGTAGCGACTGAGACGTGGGCTTCATGGTGAAAGCGGCGCGGGGTTCTGGCAGGCATTGTGGATGGGGTTCCCGGGGATTAAGCCTTATGCGAATGAAAATGATTGAATCTGAATATCGCTCACTCGATTGAGGTTTCGTTGCGGTCATCGTGACACCAGAACTGAAATCCGTTTAGGTTCTAGGTTGCCTGCCGTCTGACTCTCTGTGAAAAAATTTGAAAATTCGGTTCGCACGCGAATGAACTAGGGCAATTGCTCACACAGTACCCTGTGACAGTTGATGCGGTGGTGAAATGCGAGAGTGAAAATCAGCCCCAAGTGATCAGTAGCTGCCCAGGCCACGGGAATATGATATTTAGAGTTGAAAGACAAGGCCTGTGGGGATTTGCATGGAAGACAAAAGTTCTACGGATCGACGAAGTGGAAAGCCGCCGCGACGTCGGCATCATGGTTGAACGGGCGGCATCTTTCGTGGATAAACACCACCATGTACTCTCACCAGTTGGGATTGATGCTGGTGCATTGTACTGACGACCACATCACAGATCTAACAATTGCCCATCGGACGAAATCCGCCTCGGGCCGAAAGCGCGGAGATGTGGAGAAACACTGAACTCGAACATGTACAGAGGAAAACATCCTAACGCTCACCTTTACCGTGCCGTCCGCTGACCCGGTGACCACCTTAGCACCGTCGTGCATGTACACGGCGGTGTTCACGTAGGACGTATGACCCTGGGCACAGAGCAATCGCAGCAGCAGCAGCAGCAGCAGCAGCAGCAGCAGGGAATGAACTTACAGCGCAGGGAGGAGAGCGACACCGACCGTGTATGGCACCCAAGTACACCTCGGAGGCTGCATTCGGCGGGGCCCCCTTGACGCGAGCAAACAGCACGACACAACCTCGTTGTTCCCGTCGAATGCGCGGAAATCACGCCGCCTGCGGAAGCGACACCACAACGTTGGCGAGGCAACTTCGCGTCTCACTCATCAGTCTCCCTCGTAATCCCCACTTCAGGGAGTCTACCACTGACGAGTCCATCAGGGAGGGAGCCCGTATCCGAGGTAACTCCTTAAGCATGTCCAACATATGAGGCACTCGAATACCAAAACAGATGTGAGAGCTTGTGGGAATTATTAAGAGGAACGCCGTCCATTCGAAGAAACCTTGCCTCGATGATGAGCACAAAATCGTTTCACTCAAAGGAAAAGGGATCGTGCTTGTGGGTGGATGTATTGCTCCCTTTGCTCACACGGTATGTTGCCCTATCAATGCATACACACCAACACACAAATCCCACAGAGACCATGGCCAGCGTCGGAGAAGCTCACAGATACACGTGATGTGAGCTCACAGATACATGTGACGTGTACAGCCTTGAGTTTTCTAGGCAATCAAACCATCGGAGAGAAGGGGAGACGCTTTCTTTGGTGATGTCTTGTGAGGTCGGTCCTACTTTCACGGCATGTGAATATTTGCCTCCTCACATGCGTTCCGGAAGAGGGAGCCAGCTACGGTCCAAATAAGTGAGTTTCACGGCACCTGCGAGGACGAGCTCCAATAAAAACATAAAAACTGGAACAGGAACGGTGATACTCTCTGCTGGTTGTGGGGACCACCGGCTGCGAAAATCGCAACCCGCCCCACAGGGGCAGCTCAGGCTGAGGTTTCTGCCCCTCCCCCCCCCCCATCGGTGACCGGTCCTGTGGGAACAATGCTCCGTCCTCTCGAGGACGCGTGGTCAATGTCCTAACCGGTAAGGCAAGCAAAAACATGAGTAACACCCCCCTCCCTCCTTCGAAGCATGCTATCCTTACCCGGAATTCCTTGAGCATCTTCCCGGACTTGAGGCCGTGGATTCGCGCCGTCTGGTCCATGGAGGACGAGAGCAGCTGAGACCCGTCCCTCGCGAAAGCCACGGAGGTCACCCCTTGTGTGTGCGCGCTCTCGAAGCGCCTCAGGCACTGCCCGGTGGACACCTTCCAGACCTTCATCTTGCCATCCTGACGAGAAAAAATAAGACGGGCGAGGAAGGAGCGAGCGTATTAATAGCCGTGCATGCCGTAGTCGTTTGACCATTTTCCTTGCATCCTTTCAGCCGTGCATGCCGTAGTCGTTATACCATTTGCCTCGCATCCCTACAAAGCCGGGACGGAGCACGCCGGGTTCTCACCGAACCAGGTTCGCCCGTCGTCAATGGAAGGGGGGCGTGTACTCAAGTTTCGCACGCCGTAGTCGTTAGGCCATTGTGCATGCGTCCTCGAGAGGAAGAAGGGAGGGGGGGGGTACGCATGTAAACGCATGCCGTAGCCGTTAGGCCATTGCCGTCGCATCCCTACAATGTCGGGACGGAGCTACATGCAGGATTTTCGCCGGCCCAGGCTACATTCCACAAGGGTGAAACAGAAGCTGGGAGGGTGTGGGGGGGAAGCTGTGCAGGGGAGTCGAGAAGAGCACGGCAACGCAGCGAAATCAGGGTTTGCAATAGCCGAATATCCCATCTTCAAGGGGAAAAAAAATCATGGTACTCTTGTGTGCACGCCACTCCGTTGAAAAGGACTGAAGATCAGGGCCGCCCCGTGTACCGAAACCTCTCCGGCAAACATAACACACGCGACAACAACGACGCCCCGTCTCGACAGCAAGGAGAACAAAAGCGCTTACGGTGCTGCCGGTGGCCAGGTGCTCGCCGTCCCTGCTGAAGGAACTGCACAGGACCGCCTTGTCATGCATCATGAACTCGTCCTTGGCCTGGTACGCCAAGTCCTTGCGCAGCCTGCACGTGTCGAAATCCCACACCTGTGGTCGGCCCGGCCGTCGGGTACGTGTGGTTTCATCCTTCCTTCTTGGTTCTGGTTGAGTCTTCAGAATTGTGTTCTTGGTGTCGATGTTCTGTGGTGCCTAACGTGGTGTGGTGCCAGTTTTTGGTCGTCTTAGCTTGTCTTCTCAAGCTGTTGCAGTTTGGACTAAAAATATATGTGTGGTGTTGAATGTTTTGTGTGTTTCGAGTTGCGTCCTTCCGTTTCGACTTTTTCAAGCCCCGGGTCAGAAGGAGCGCACAGAAACGCCCCGAGTTGCGTGCGGGGCAACGCCAACCCCCCCACTGCTCGCCCAAGCGGGAAGCATCCACGTTTCCCACCTCACACATTCCGTCGTTACGGCCTGTCACATCGACGCACACCCCATCGAGGAAAAAAAAATACCTGGTCGCGGAAACAAACGACAACCTCGGGGGACGGCAGGATGTCTGGCCAAAATTCGATCATAAAACAGGCCATGGTCTACCGACGAACGGCAAACAGGATTCAAGATGTCAGGAGCGCAACATCACCTCGACGAAGCCGTCAACGCTGCCGGAAGCCAGGTACTGTCCGTCCGGGCTAAACCGAGCCACCTCGGGGTGACTCTTCGTGCCTGCGTGATAGATACCGATAAATTGTTTGTGGGGATGCCGACGGGGTGGGGCAAGCGAGGGACCGTGAGAGACTTGCCAATCCAAAGGAGGTGCAAGCTCAACGTGAAACAAAAGTAACGGACACCAGGCACCCTAGGTGGAGGATTGGATTCGGAGGAGGCTTCAAGTAAATCCGAATACAAACAACAGGTGAGCAACGTGCGCAAGAAGAAACAGCTGTAGATGTCATACCGATTGACGCCAAACGCGCACATATACGCACATATTGTTTGTCTGTACCACCGGGTTCACAGGGATGCGAGGCCAAAGGTCTACCGACAACGGCATACACCCCTCTCTTACCGAACTTAATCTGGCCGGCCATCTTCCTGGGAGGTTTCTCCTCCATGTCCTTCTTGCTCGCGCGGGCACCGCCCCTGAAGAGGTCGAACTTTTGGCCCCTGGGCAGCAGGCCCTGCACCTGCTGCCACTTCAGGGCCTGGTTCACCAGCGCCAAGAGACGACTCGGCGGGACAACGCTCACCTGTGTATGTGCGTGTGCGTGTGTGTGCTTTATTAGCATCGACCGCGCTATCCAGCTGACCAACGAAAAGACGTAAGTCTAGTTCTTGTCGTTGTGATAGGGTGCGCGGGAGGGTGCAAGCTTAGACAAAGCTCGTATCTAACGCGCATACTCGCGGACCAACAGAACGGCAGGCACCATCGTAGTCTTTGCAGGAGAACAGAAGATTTAGCGGGCGAGTTAGCGCGCTCGCGCGTACCGCATGATTCGGTATGGATGCATCCTCGATCACTCCGACCATCTGATCAGTGAAAAGACGCCTATATCAGCGGGAAAAAGTCGCTGCGTTTGCTAAGGAGGAAACGGGAGCGTAAGTACGTCTGCGGAGCATTCATTATATGGAACATCGAATGCTCGATACTTTGGTTCAGGGGCGTACCTTAGCACGTGAGAAGGTCACGTGCAGAAAATAAGCCAATAGACGATGGTGCGGCGACTTGTGCGGTTCTCACAAGGCTAAAATAAACGCATCGATATCACGTCGTCGCAGGAAAAGGCGAGACTCGAGCGAGAGGAAACCACGAGGGGGAAACCTCACGCGAACATATTCTGGACCCTTTCCAAGTGCTATCGTCGTGAACAAGTGCTATTGTAATAGATACAGGTGCGTGTTTCCCTGTAAACCAAAACCAGTACTTACAGATTTACAGTACGGATGACAACAGATCACATCTTTCACGCATCTCTTGAGCCAACACCCCGCTATTCTAGGCATGCAGCGAGCGGAGCCCGAAAAAAACCGCACCCCTGCCGCACTCGACATGAAAAATCCACCCTGATACCCGCCTCCCACCTTCGTTCAAGTAGGAAGGAACGATTGGCCATCGGCGATCGGTCCTGAGGTAACAACGCTCCGTCCGCTCGAGGACTGACGCGTGGTCAATGGTCTAACAGCTACAGCTGCAAGTGAGGCATGCAAAACAATGAGTGTGCCCCCCCCTTCCCGGCTTTGAAGGGATGCGAGGTCAGTGGTCTAACGACTAAGGCATGTACGGCTCCCCCCACCCACCCACCCCCGCCTCCCCCCACCCCCGGCAGCCCACCTCAGGGATGAGCATGTTGGCAATCTCCGCTCGGCGCTTTTCCTTCGAGCTCCCTGCCGGGTACAAGTCTCGCGGGTCGATGGCGGCGCCCTTCTGCAGCCAGTGCTCCAGCCGGAGATACCTGTCGGGCTCCTCCTTCTTCATCTGGAGGAATGGGTCGGCCGTGCGCAAGATCTCCCTGTTCTCCGGAGATGCGCAAAGCGAGACGATGGCAACAGGGACACGGGGGGTGGGGTTCCTTGAGGCATGTTCAGTGTAATACCGCCAAAAGGATGCATCGCACCGTTGCAATACTGAGCAATGGGCACGGCGGTTAGCAACAGCGAGGGATTATGCGGGGGTGGACTTCGTGCAATACCGCAAGAGGATGTATCGAACCATTGCACTACCTCAAGAGGGCGGATCGCACCACGTCAGGGGGGTTATCCCCCTACATACCTGGCGACGTCCAGCTCCCTCATCTCAAGCAGCTCCAGCACCAGCTGCTCGTACACCGCCACGAGCTTGGCCAGGGGAAGAGACAGCGACGACACCTGCCGCCCCAACAAGAAACGCAAAGGCCGAGACGAGGCCAAGTGCAGTTACACCAGCATCACCACCGCCACCATCACCAGCAGCAGTACGGTAACACCGGCATCACCAGCAGCAGCAGAAGCAGCAGCAGCATTAGCAGCAGAGGGCCTCGGCAAGAAAAAGGCCCAGCCTTCTAAGACACGTCTTAATCCTAGTCCAACAGAGAGGTCGGTCTAACGCATGACAGCAACAGGTGACGCCTCGTTTAGACCTCAGCATATAGCATCAGCGTACACCATGAACAAGAAAAGCCCCGGTGGGCGCAACACAGGTATCCCGTCAGGGAAAAGAGACTATTTTCGAAGTTTGTGTGACGGAGGTGGGTTTCCGTACCTGAGGCATGACTGCCTCCCAACGCCCGTGGTTGATGTCGCTCATGAGGTTGTCCAGGTTGTCGATGGTGTTGAGGCACACGCTAGACTCCGCCTGGAGAGCCCTGAGCGTCTTGGTCAGGTTGTTCTCCTGGCATGAATGCATTGGGCGTGCGAGCGAAACCGCGGGGTGACGTTCCGCATGGAACCGTTGCCTTTCCTACGTAGCCTTCGCGGGTGTAAGCTTGGTCTTTGTAGGGGGTATGGGCTGGGGTTAGGGATAGGGATAGGGATGCGAAACCCCCATCTCTACTTCATAGATTAATTAAAAAAATATCGCGAGGGGGGTCCATTCCTTTCGTGTTCGGAAGTAGCACTGCTGTTCGCTAAACACCAGTAAGATACCACCCCCCCTGGACCCAATTTCAAACCTCTACACTGCTGTGCTGTGTTCCACGAAGAGGATGCCGAAACCAAATGATGCATTTTCAGAAGCTCTCGACGAGACAAGCAGTTCCAACGCCGCCAATTCCCACACGGTCACTGTTCCTGCCGAGTGCAATCGAGCTGGTGCAAATCAATCCGGCGGGTGACGCATCTTAAGCAACCTACGTATCCACCCCTCCTAGATGTGTGTCGTGTCCTGTACGCGGTGAGATGTAGTCTGCGGCCTCACGGCGGTTGTGCGTGACTGCTGTGTGACGACCAGACTGCTGTTGGGGCATATGCATCCCTACATCAATTTCGTGAACAAGTGCAGTCACAGCAGTAGTAGACGTGCATTCATGAGGTCCGCATCGAGTATGGGGGGTGATCACTCCAACGACATGCACAGCAGTGTGATGGAACACGCGGGGTGCATGATGATATCTGTACAGGCTGTAGCGTAGACCATAGGCTGTGCACCACGGCAGTGCTACTGCTTTTAACAAGGAACCCTCATGTCAGCAAAAGACGACATGACGTTGTCGTCGTCTGCTGACTATCCACGAGCAACTCCAGCAGCACCAACTACTGCAGCAGCGTCTCCGCCGATGTTGGCGGGTTGCTCGTCCACATGTCGACGTTGCAGCTGATAATGCTGCCGCTGTTGAGAGGATAGCCCCCCCAAAGATCGCCTTCCGTTGCCCTTGTTCCGCGCTGTGACCCATATTCTGCGAATCTTGCAAGCTTCTCTGCAAAACCAACCAAACACACCGCAATGCAGCCGGCTGCCCATGGCTCTCCTGCCATCACTGGCTCGGGTCCAGCGTACGGCAGTGCAGCCACACGCAGTATCCTCAGCGGCAGTAGCACACTTACAGATAATACGACTGCCTTGTGCTACCATTTTGGGGAAGGAGAGACGCACCTTCAGGAACTGTAGGATGAGCCGAATGACATCCTCCGACTCCACCTCGAAGCTCATTGTCGTCGATGGATGGACAGCAGAGCTGAGCAAAGCCTACAGCAATAGCAGTGTGTGTCACGGCCGCAGCTAGCGTAGCTGCTACGGTGCACAGCAGTGCACAGCGTGCGCGGTGTCCCACATGGTGTTGGCGAACCCCCTTTCCGCGGAGCCCCCACCCATTTCCTTGGAGAACCTTTTTCTCGATGCTTTCGAAATTTGTCATTATTTTGCGTACCCCCTTTGCTCGCCAAGGGGGAGGGGAAAAGAGCGGAGACCAGGCAGGGCAACACACCACACACGCCCCCGGTCTACTCCTTACGATCAGTATAAACATCAGCCACCCAACGGACAGAAATATATACACTCTGTCTGCCCCCTGGTAACCACACCTATGTGTTCATACTGAAACCACGAGAGAACCCCACAAGGCCCATCAACATTAACATCGCCACTAGGCGAAACACTCGGGCCACCAAGAAAAAACCATTTTCCCGTCTCTCGCTACTCTCTGTTCCCCTGACACTCCATCGCACTGCAGAAAAAAACACACATACATGTCGCCAGGACCCCACGTACAATTAATCATATAATATATACGGGTGTCCACCAATCAATCAGACTCGTAACGCACGCAACGGGGAAGCGCGCAGCACCAACGCAGCCGCACACAGCAGCCAATAGTGCACGCCCCCAACCATGCAACGGTCCGATACACACACCAACATGCGTCCTGCATATATATAGCCTGAAGTAAATGCGATACACACACATCCCACTCAGAAAAAAATTGAAATGGGACGAGCACCTCGGAACCGCGCCCAGCATAGGCACACGCGACCCCGACTGCGGCTACACAGTGAATCCCCCCGACAGGCAATCACATTGGACACAACGCCGCCGCTCCGATTTCCATGTCCACTGACACCCCCAAAAGCAAGGGTGGGTGGGTGGGAAAAAGAAACGTCACGGCAGAAACAACCCTTGGCCACCACAAGCACACACACGTGCTCTCGCTCGCCCCCGGTTAAACACGGCGAAGCGAGTATATACTGAAAACAGGAATCAACACGCTCGTCCGCTTCCTGCTTTCTGATTGGCCAACGGTTTATTTCTGCCGCTTCTCACAAAACACAGATTTCCCTTACTTCGTCAGTCAATCTTTCGCTTTTCTCGATGCTTTCGAAATTTGTCATTATTTTGCGTACCCCCTTTGCTCGCCAAGGGGGAGGGGAAAAGAGCGGAGACCAGGCAGGGCAACACACCACACACGCCCCCGGTCTACTCCTTACGATCAGTATAAACATCAGCCACCCAACGGACAGAAATATATACACTCTGTCTGCCCCCAAACCTAAGGCTGGTGCGCCATACTGATCCCCCCCCCCCCCCTTTTTTTTATGCGCAACATATACCGCAAACCATGAATATGAATGCAACACACACCATATGTACGACATACAATATATACGGCATACACAATGTACAGCAAAATAACATCGGTACAACAAGGACCTCGACATACACCACGCGCCACATAACCCCTTCACACGTCACCCCATCGGGTACCCTGCCCTGGCTGCGTAGTCACCTTCTCCTTGTTCGCCAACACCTCTGACACCCACGAAGCATCACCCCCAACATTCCGAACATAACACTGGTAACTACTCTCACCCGACCATCGCCCTTCTCTACGAAGAACCTCCGGCGATGCACCCCCCGCCGCCAAGAAAGTGGCGCCCCCAATACGAAGGGAGTGCAGCGCGTACTCCTCGGGCTGCAAACCCGCCAACGCAACGACTTGGCGAAGGGCCACAACAGCTTGACACTTAGTCCACATGGCCCACTGGCCCCGACCAACGCCGAAAGCCACGAGAGGCGCATGCGAAGGCAGAAACGTATACAGAGAAAGCAGCTCCACCATGACATCCACTGCACCACCCCCTCGGTCTACGCCACGACACGGACCTCGCCGTGTGCGCGTGCAAACCGCCCCTTTCCGAAACTGGTCCCCTTTGGACGAACGAAAACGTACCTCCACGCGATCGGCCAACGGCCACTGCGCCGACTGCAATATCTGGACCGCCCCCCGAAAAAACGCTACGTCCCCCCGACGCAACCCATGAACCTCATGCATGGACAATTTCGACACCGCAAACATCTCAGACGCTCGCGTCAGAAAGAAGAAAGAGGCACTCAGCGCAAGAAACAAAACGCGCCCGCCTACGCCCCATTGAGGCACCAACGAACTCCCCTGTTGCAACATTGCCCAAGACACCGGCCGCCGCAACCGCTGCTGTGTTCCCACGTCGGCATGCCCCCGCGCCGCTCCACGTAAAGCACAACGAATCAGCGGATGCTGCGTATCAAGCTCCCCTTCACCCGACACACGATGGAAAAACTTAACAGCGGAAAGGTGACTAGCAATCGTCGAGTTTTGCAGGCCCAAAACGGAAAAACCATACGCGACGTACTCAACCAATTGAGCAACGACATCACGCGGAACAGTCTCAGCAGCAATAAACACCGGCCGACACACAACGGCCACACGATATTTCACCCAGCCTCCAAAAAGGCCCAGGTAAGTTCGTTCAGACGTTCGCGCAAGTGACTGGCGGACGAGGCTGGCCCCAGCACGGCAGAGCACATCTCTTGCCCGGCTCGATTCAACTCCACTTCCTGCCATCGCACATGGGGGGCAGCGGCACAAAGGTTGTCGTACACATCAGCGGCGGGCCAGCGAGAAATACCATCGGCAAGCGAATTGAGCACACCAGGCACATGGGACGATTGAAAAAGCCACCCGCTAGACACCTCAATCGCCCCCAGCATCCGCATGAGCGCGCCGGACCGCGGCTCCTTGCCTCCGCGACACCGCTCAATCCATGCCACACTCGCTTCATTGTCTCCTCGCAACTGGATGCAGTCACCGGCCGACACCGGCGCGTGACGCTGTTGCACGATCAACACCCACGCCGCCGCGACCATGCCGAGTAGCTCAAGAACATTGATACTGACATCGGGACACGCGGATACAGACTTGCTAGACCCCACAAAACGGGACTGCTCGTCACACGTCAAATCACGCCGGAAATAACACCCAGTTTGCACACAGTATGCTCCGAACGCTGTTTTGGACGCATCGGCAAACACGGCCATTACCGGAGGGCGAAGCACCACATTGTACATCGGTGCACACAACTGTCCGCCACGCGACGCCAGACCGCGCTGCACAAACCAGCGCCAAAATCCAAATCATCGTGAAACATGGGGCCCAACACGACACGCCGAGCGGGGTTAGAAACACGCGAAGGAAACACGTCGGATTGCGGCATGCCGACATCAGCCAACAGACAGCCGACGAAATATTTGCCTGGACGCAAGGCAAAAGACACGTGAAGAAGAAAACCGGTCAATTCCGCGACTTGGCGGGCGGTCGCACACAGACGCGACCGCGGCCACTCGCCCAACAAACGATGTAATTTCTGTTGTTTTCGCAGAGGCATGGTCACTGTGAGAGTTTGCGTGTCCAAAATCCATCCCAACACCTCCAAACGTGTAGAAAAATCGGTGATCTTCTTTGCAGACAGCAACGGAGGATCGTGTGGCCCCCGGTGTCCCAGCAGGCGGAAATGGTCCGACGCGATCGACTGCACTGCACGTAAGTAACGACGACCATCCTTGAAAAACCGCGCCTCGACAAGCACGCCGTCATCCACATAATATCGAACGAAAAACGCGGAACCAGCGAAACCGCCCTCCATAGTAATTTGGGCACAATCACGCGGTAGCGAAACGGGGAGGTGTTGGGGAGGAACAAGCTGAACATGATCAACCGCCGCAACGCCGGCAGGCAAAACAGAAGCTGTCTGAAAAGTAGTGTGGGTGTGTGCATGCTCAAGAGCGGAACCGAACGGCGACCAAAAACCTGGGCTCGAACGCCAGCCAAACTGGCAACGAAGGTCAATAACGACCACGCCCCCCATCGTGTATCCGAATACCGATGCCCTCGAAGGGTCGACCAACACTTGACGAAAAGCCTCACGTACGTCAATACGACATAACAGAATCTCGAGATGTGGCCCGTGCAATTGGCGCAAAAACAATACGCGCGACAAGATATCGAAAAGCACATGTCCCAACAGACACTCGGGGGCACGATCAAAATCTGTATCTGCATTAACGCTAGACGACGCACCAGCCGCTGTGAATGTGAGATCATGAATGATGCGGAATTTCGGATCTTCCACCACCCCAAGGGGGGAAACACGCACACCCAAAATTTCACGGATGAACTGCACGTCGAAGACAAGAGCACGACCTAACGTAACATCCGAAACGATCTTGTCAGTAATCTGCGAAGTGTATGGTAAAATGCTGGAATGATTGCCGTATTTTAATTCGGCGTCGAGACACCCCCCCGGCGCCACATCGACGGGGGCGCCAGGACACAACACACGGAGGAGGTTGTCAATGTGCGGAAAACGTTTCGCGACTCCAAAAAATTCACGAACCGACGCAACATCAACATGGGGCGCAAAGAAGCCGGCACCACCGGCCGCCACGAGCACTTCAATGCGCCCCCCACACTGTCTAAGCAAGGCGGAACCAGCGGAAGCCACCTCACGAAGACCCACACCCATGTCGGAGGGTGAACACACCGCCGCTAAAGCAGACACACGATATCGCCACACGCCAAGTTCACGCGAACCTGCAACCGACCTAAACGAGACGTCACCTGGTAACATCGAAGAGACAGCTCCGGGCACACACGCCCCTCGATCGACGCCCACGCCCGCCGCCGCCAACGCCGCGGCCCCAAGCGCGCGGGAACCCGGCCTCGCTGTCTGATCTACGCTCCCACACACGTCCGGAGTTGGCCCCGCCGAAAGGCAGAGCCCGTGTCCTCAGTTGCGGCCCCCTCCCCGGCGAACGACCAGCGCCGACGAGCCGCCTCCACCATCGGCCGCGGCATCCGAGGCCCCCCCCCCCCCCGAACCACGGCCCCCACCGCCGCGCGGACGACCACCCCGGCCACCAAC